ACAATGTTGAAATGTCTTTAAAAACTACCTCTAAAACTATAGTTAGTTCAAACTGTAGCAGTCCACGTATTGGTCAACACTCATCACTTTGAATAGGTCCAGCCATTTTGCGGTAAATTGGGTTTCCTGTAGCTTTGGGTGCAATTTGTCAATTTTGACTTACAAAGAGACCTGTATGGCTTGACACCAGAGGTGGGTTTCAGCAGGTTCTGACCAGTTCTGGAGAACCGGTAGCGGAAATTTTGAGTAGTTCGGAAAACCGGTAGTAAAAATTCTGACTGGCCCTGCTCCCATCTATTCTCTGCCTCTCAAGTCCCAGCTGATTGGGAGGAAATGGGGATGTTGCAGTAACCTTCCCCTGCCATACCCACCAAGCCACGCCCACCATGCCATGCCACACCCACCAAGCCCCACCCACAGAACCGGTAGTAAAAAAAATTGAATCCCACCCCTGCTTGACACCTCTTCAAGACTGCCTACTCCAAGCAATGGATCAACCTTCCCAAGATAAAGAGTCGTGAAAGAAAACGCTGTGGTAGGGTGAGGAGAACCGAGCACAGTTCTATTATTACCAACACTGGAGTAAATTCCCCTTAGAGTAAATTCCCTCCCCCTTTGGTAATTAGCCTTTCGGGAACTCAAGGTCATTTTAAGAATGATTGTAGCCACTATATTAACACCGTCAGTTTGGTATTTAAGATGGTTTCTGTTTTCAGTTATTTGAAGTGGGTGGAATTAGTTTGGAAACATTACGATGGACTTTGAAGTTTTCCATGGTACATTTTTGATTCCTGTAAGCCACTAAGAGTTCTGAAAGATTTGCAGCAAACAGATGGGATAAATAAATAACTAAATATTCCAGTTACGTACCCCGGGACACTGCAACCATCATAAATATGAATCAGTTGCCAAGCATCTGAATTTTGATCATGTGACCAGGGAGATGCCACAAAAATCATAAGTGTGAAAAATGGTCATAAGTCACTTTTTTTCAGTGCCGTTGTAACTTCGAACTCTTACAATTGTTACAACTAAATGAACTGTTGTAAGTCGAGAACTACCTTTAGTTTTCTTAGCAACAGAACGGAAAGGTTGGGTGCTGCCTTCTCCCAAATTCCCAACATAGCTTGCAGCCCCCAATTTCTCATGGGTCTTTCATTCAGGCAGTAAACGGATCTGACCCTGCTTAGCTTTTCCAATTGGCCAATGTCAACTACAAAACTTATACACCTGCCTTTCGGCATAGTTTTGCATGCTCCGAGGCGAAATCATACAAGAATTAGTTTACTTTTGAGTTATTATTGTATTTTGTAGCTAAAGCTGTCCTCTTTGAAGCTAGCCACAAAAATAGTAGATTACAGCAGTTCATCTGTCTCATTTCTCATCTTTTCCATCTTATCTTTCCTACTATCTTTTATTGGTTTCTTATGATTTATCAGTTGTTGTTTGCAGCTTATGATTAATGATTTATTATCTATGACCTGTTACTTGCTCTTTATATGTACACTGAGCTTATGCACCGGAAACAAATCCCTTATGTGTCCAATCACACTTGGACAATAAAGAATTCTATTATTATTATTATTATTATTATTATTATTATTATTATTATTATTATTATTAGTAGTAGTAGTAGTAGTAGTAGTAGCAGTAGCAGTAGCAGTAGCAGTAGCAGTAGCAGTATCTCTTCTATTCATCCAGCATCCTATGTATCAACCAAGTATCTTCTTAAAATGTACGATGTTGTTTTTGTTGTTGTTGTTATTATTCAGGAAGATGTAGCAGAGATTGCTCTATTGCTCTCACTGTTCCACATCACTGCTCAATGCTTAAATATCTGGGTATGTTCATCCACCATCTGAAGATATTTAAAGCAGGGGTGAAATCCAGCAGGTTCTGACAGGTTCTGGAGAACCGCTAGCGGAAATTTTGAGCAGTTCGGAGAACTGGTAGCAGAAATTTTGAGCAGTTCGGAGAACCGGTGGCGGAAATTTTGAGCAGTTCGGAGAAATGGTGGCGGAAATTTTGAGTAGTTCATAGAACCGGCAAATACCACCTCTAGCTGGCCCCAGAGTGGGGTGGGAATGGGGATTTTTCAGTATCCTTCCCCTGCCACGCCCACCAAGCCACACCCACCAAGCCACACCACACCCACCAAGCCATGCCCACAGAACCGGTAGAAAAAAAATTTGGATTTCACCACTGATTTAAAGGTAGCCCTTGACTTACAACCATTCATTTAGTGACCATTCGAAGTTACAAAGGCACTGAAAAAAAGAACTTATGACCACTTTTCACACTGAGAAACATTGCAGCATCCCCATAGTCATGTGACCAACCTGCGGGCATTTGGCAACTGGCATGCATTTGTGACATTTGCACTGTCCCAAGATCATGTGAGCACCAGAGGTGGGTTTCAGCAGATTCTGACCAGTTCTGAAGAACCAGTAGTGGAAATTTTGAGTTCGGAGAACCAGTAAATACCACTTCTGACTGGCCCCACCCCCATCTATTCTCTGCCTCCCGAATCCCAGCTGATCGGGAGGAAATGGGGATTTTGCAGTATCCTTTCCCTGCCACGCCCACCAAACCATGCCACGCCCACCAAGCCACACCCACAGAACCAGTAGTAAAAAAATTTGTAACCCACCACTGGTGATCACCATTTGCAACCTTCCCAGCCAGCTTCTGATGAGCAAAATCAATGGCAGAAGCCAGATTTCCTTAAAGACTGTATGATTCCCTTAAAAATTGCAGCAGCTTGCTTAACAATTGTAGGCTGAAAAATAGGGCTAAACTCATTTAACAACCGTCTTGCTTGCTTAACAAGAGAAATTTTGGGCTCAAGCGAGGTCCTAACTTGGGAACTATCTATACTATACTTTAGTGATATATGTCTCTTCCAAGCTGCAGGGCAAATCAATCTACCGGCAACCCTGCTGAAAAAAATTGTACTTTCTGCACTTTTTTTGCACACACAGAATTTCTGCTGGGATAGAAAATTGTAACTAGAAATGATGTTACTGCACAGTCCCTCAATTTTTCACAACTTTGCTGACTTTCGCTTGGCTTGCTGATCTCCATGATATAATCCTGCAAAAGCCATCAATGCTCAGATGCGTCTTTCGTATCCCAGAGCTTAGTTGCAACCATTCAACAAATGCCCATTGTGTTTCCAAAAATAAATCCTCCCAGAAATGAAAGCTTTGAGGTATTACGGGAAAATGGTAAGAGTGTTTTCTTGGGATTATTGTGTGCTTCCCAGCACTGGTGCTCAACAGGGAAAAAGAGGTTAAAACGTGTCTCAATAATGCCGGCCACCTGCATTTCATTCAGGGATTAGTTGAGCTGAAATCTGCCTTGGAAAGAGACTAGAAAATATGTGATGTTCCTTTCTGCCAAAATGGGTATATTTCTGGCTCCACACAGAAGGCCACCATGTTGGAAGTCTTCTAAGAGCTGTGGTGGCACAGTGGTTAGAATGGAGTACTGCAAGTTAATTCTGCTGTCAGCAGTTCGATCCTGACCGGTTCAAAGTTGACTCAGCTTTCCATCCTTCCGAGGTTGGTAAAATGAAGATCCAAATTGTTGGGGGCAAGAGGCTGACTCTGTAAATCACTTAGAGAGGGCTGTAAAGCACTGTGAAGCGGTATATAAGTCTAAGTGCTATTGCTATTGTTAATGCGTATCTCAGTTTTACCAACCTAATTTTCTCCAGTTCCATTGGACTTCCAACTTCCAAAAGTCCCAGTCAGCAGATGGAGAAAGAAAGGCTTAATGATTTCAAGCTGAGACCAGTTCAGACATGGTAGCAGTGTTCCAATATCTAAGGAGCTGCCACAAAGAAGAGGGGATAAACTATTCTCCAAAGAATTTGAAAGCAGGACAAGACACAATGAACGGAAACTAATCAAGGAGAGAAGCAACCTAGAAACAATTTCCTGACAGTGGGAACAATTAACCAGTGGACTGTCTTGCCTTCAGATGTTGTGGGTGCCCCATTACTGGAGGCTTTTTTAAAAAAAGACTGGACAACCATCTGTCTGAAATAGTATAGGGTTTCCTACCTGAGAGGGGGTTGGACTAGAAGACCTCCAAGGTCACTTCCAGCTCTGTTATTGTTATTCTGTTAACCAGTGGTGAAATGTAAAATTTGTTACTACCGGTTCTATGGGCGTGGCTTGGTGGTGGTGGGGGGTTAATGTGACTGGGTGGGTCTGGCCAACTTTTTTTTTTTTTTTACTTTTAAAAGCATTTTTTCTACAACCTCTTCGGTTGAAGAGGTTGTAGAAAAAATACTTTTAAAAGCCTCTGATGATCCCAGCTGAGCCACACGATCATCAGAGGCTTTTTTTTTACTTTTAAAAGCATTTTGGCCAAAGAGGTTGTAGAAAAAATGCTTTTAAAAGTAAAAAAACAGCCTCTGATGATCACGTGGTTCAGCTGGGAATGGGCAGGGAGGCCGCAGGGATTTTTGCTACCGGTTCTCTGAACCATCCGCCGCCATCGCTACTGGATCAGGTGATCCGGTCTGAACCGGGAGCATTTCACCCCTGCTGTTAACCCTTTCAATTACTTTTTACAGCAGTCCATTATACCAGAGAGGGCAGAAAGCAAAAAAGAACAATAATTAGCTCCAAATATGTAGTGGAGTTTGTAGAATCTAAAAATGAGTTTTGGATTTTCTGAAATCTGACAGTTGAAAAACCTGCAAATATGTCCTTACCAATAACTTGTGTGTAGAAAGCTTAAAGGCTGAGTCCTTAATCCATTACTTTAGAAGTTTAAAACAAAACAAAAACAAAACAAAAATCTTAAAGTAAAAGGAAAGAATATTTTTTTTAAAAAAACTTTCCCTCACAGATCCCGCCTTCATCTCTTCTAGCACTTATTAGTGCTGGTAGAAAAACAGATGAACACATTAATATTAGTTCTATTATTTAACATTCCTTAGTAACACCGAGAACTTATTTTCTTCCTGAAGCATCATGAAAGCAGTATAAAGTCTGAAGGAAACATTCCATTTATTGCATAATATTGCGCTATGTACACACACATACAAAATAAGCATTTGATAAAGTTCTTTCAAAGTTGCAGTAAAAAGAGGCCCGTTTGGCTACTCAAACAGCAAAGTGACCCTTTAATGCTTTTAAAGCTTTTCATCAGGGAAAGTGCAAAACGTAGTTGAATTAGAAGGTACACAAGTCCGGCGGCTCCATGCCAACCAAAATTGAATTAGGATTAAAGTCCACCTTGCTCGCCTGACTGAAAAATAAAACCCTCTTCAGGGCTGCACTGGATCAGGATTGCAATTAGCTTTTACCTCCATCAGACCCAAATGGACTAATTCCATTAGTTTCCATGGATTCAGCCATTATCAACTTCAACTCGGCTTGGACCACCAATTGATAAAATTATCGGGGGCAGGGGAGGGAAAATTCATTGTGACTTCTATAATAAAGTGTGTGTGTGGGGAGAGAGATTTGGGGGAGAAAAGGAAGCTGGTTGTCATTTTTCTTCCATTCACCCCACTGTCATTTGGCTCTGGATCTATCTCAATGGGGCAGAGAAGGCCTGCTTCTAAAACAAACAAAAAAAGCATCATCCATTGATAAGACAGGCAGAATGGCAAAGAGACGTTCAGTCTGCAAGAAACACATCTGCACGCATCTGCGCACCGAGATGGGAGGAAAACATGGACTGTGCCAGGGGTGTCAAACTCAAGGCGCTTAAATCTGGCCTGCAGGTCCGCCCTGGAACCTGCAAAGGACCGGCCTACTGCGCCTCTGCCAGCAAAAACAGAGTGCGGTCCTCCAGGGCTCCGTTTTCAGTCGCGACGGCCTCCTGCAACTCTCTGCCAGCAAAAAACGAGCTTGGTGCCCCACCCCCGAGCTCCGTTTTCACTGGCAGAGGGCTAGCAAAACAAAATAAAAACAAAATAAAAGGAGAAATGTTTTCCCTTTTACATTTGACCACCCAAGAAGGGACAGGAAAGGAGAAAGGGAAAGAGGAAAGACAAAAAGAAGGAAAGATGGGAAGAGAGCAAAAAAGAAGGGAGGGAGGGAGGGAGGGACAGAGCAAGGAAGGAAGGAAGGAAGGAAGGAAGGAAGGAAGGAAGGAAGGAAGGAAGATTATAATGAGAGTGAGGGAAGTCTGAGGGAAGTCCTGCCTTAGTACTTGGCCACCTCAGGTGCCCCCGACACGAGTGACGTTGAACTCGCCATGCCCACCTCGGCCCTCCCAAGGTCAAACACAACCCTGATGCGGCCCTCAATGAAATCGAGTTTGACATCCCTCGACTATGCTGTGAAATTCCCATTCCTAGAGAGAAAAAAAAAGTGCACAGAAACACAAATTCTCCTTTGAACAATTAACCGAAACGTAAAGTGTTCAGATCCTGTAATCCAATTCTGCATGATCTCTACTGCCTCGCAAGCTTTCGGGGAGGAAGCTGTGCGGTCAAACAGCTAAGCTAAGAAGATTTACCTCACTGATCATTTTCTGCAGACTATAGGAAATGGAGAAATTCTGCAAAGGAGAGAAACTTCTCCGTTTTTCATTTCCTGTCACCGCTCTTCCAATAACAACCTCGGTGCCTTTGAGGTGTGAAGAAATTATCCCTGGAACTGAGAAAGCAGGTCTGTGAGCAAAGAGGGAAGTTCTGAGCTGATGGAGAAGGAAACGGAAAGGAATTCACAGTTGTAGAGATGAAAAAGAAATTCACAGTAGGGCAGAATCCATTTTTCGAAAAAGATGGAGACGCAGGGGTGGGCTGCTGAGGGTTCGTAGGGGTTTGGGAGGACCTCTTGCAGTTCAGAAAACCCCCAAATCCCACTCCTGGCTGGATCCGCCCACCCCTCCCAGGAGTCCACACACGGCCCGTTTTGGATGCAGGTAAGTGCAGGGTGCGCACAGAGACTCAGGGAGGGCGAAAAACGGGCCTACCAGAAGAGCCTCCAGAGCTTGGGGAGGCCCTTTTCACGCTCCCAGAGGCTCAAAGAAAGCCTCCGGAGTCCAGGGAGGGCAAAAGCCCCCCCCACCGTGGTGCAGGACGCCGACTAGGCCACGCCCACCATGGTCATGCCCACCCAACAACTGGGCAGAGAACCCCTTGCTAAAATTTTTGAAGCCCACCCCTGTGGAGAAACCTCAGGAATATAAAGGTAATTTCCCAGACTTTAGAGAAGCAGAGAGAGAGAGAGAGAGAGAAAGAGAGAGAAGGAGAGAGAGAGAGAAAGAGAGAGACCGTTTTAAACTGAAATAAGTCATCCAATAAACATAAAATAAGATTTAAGAGATAGGTCAAAACTGTGAATGTTAAAACCCCAAGAAATATTGATAGACCCTTTTCTGTGTCCTTTTTCCTCCCTCCCCCCCTCGCCCCCCGGCTTCCCTGAGCAATGTCTCCCATTTCCCTGCAAAAGGAAGAACAAGACAAGGGTTTCCTTTCAGTTTCAAAGGGTCTCTGTTGGGGGGTGGCTCATGCTCAGGCCAAGCTGAAGCCCTCGTAGTGGTCGATGGCTTGAGTCAGTCGCGTGCTCAGGGTTTCTTTACTGCTGTACTTGGGAAGGTCAAGGAGGTTGTAGCAGGTGTGGGCCACCGGCAGGTACCGCTCATCACTGGAGGTGGACTGAATGATCATGCGTAAGCTGGACATGCCGTAGATGGGGATGCGGTCACTGCCAGTCAGGAATACTGCCAGAGGGACACAAGCAGAAAAAGCACTTCAGAAAGTCATCAACTGTTGTGGCCCGCCAGCAGCCTGCGGAGCTGGCAGCGGAGTCGGACAGTGAGGAGGCTGGGGAGGACAATGGGCCAGTCTTGGAGTCAGGGGAAGGCCCGGACGAGGGCTCTGCGTCGGAGGCAGATATGGGGCCAGGGCCATCTGGGAGCGATGCGCAGACTCCGGAGCCTCCAGAGGTGGACAGCAGAGAGGCAGAGGAACAGGAGGAGCCTGTTCCTAGTGCATGCATGCGAAGAGCTGCCAGAAGGCAAGAGCAGCTAAAGCAAAAAGGACAACTCGGGAGTAAGGCCAGGAGATGATTGGCCCCTCCCATAAGGCTTAAAAGAGCAGCAACGGCTCTTGGGCTCTTTGTAGGAAAGCAACGTTGTTACATTTGTTTCTTGTCATCTCTTATTTCTGAACTTTGTGGGGCTTTGCCAAAAAAAGCCTTTCAGGGTGCCAAAGAAGACAAAGGTTTGTGATAAGGCTGAAGGACTTTTTCTGAAGGACTTGTTTTGGAATTAATTTGGACTAAACTGAGAATGAAGTAATTCTCAACTGTTCTAATAAAATATGTTTCTTTAGGACTGATTGTGTCTGGTAATAACTACTTGGGCCTAGGTCACATCAACAAAACAATACTTGCAGAAAACACGCACTGTCCCACTGCCTCCATTCAAAGTCTTCTTTCTGTTTCCCGGGAAATGAGCTGCCCCTCCTTTAGTGGTGCTCAATTTATAATCACAATCGGAACCAGGATTTCCGTTGTTAAGCAAGGCGGGCTGTTCAATGAGTCGTTTCAGATTTTACTACCTTTTTCCCCATAGTTGTTAAATGATTCGCATAGTCGTTAAGGGAAATCTAGCTTCCCCCACAGATTTTGCTTGTCAGAAGACGGCTTTGAAGGTCGCAAATGACAATCACATGATCCTGGGATGCTGGAACGGTCGTAAATAATTTGCTAGTTGCTAAGTGTTCCAATTGTGATCACACAACCATGGGAATGCTGCAAGGAATGGTCAGTCAATTTTTTTTCAGTGCCACTGTGCCTTCAAACGGTCCCTAAATGAATGGTTGTAAGCTGAGAATTAGAAGTTGTCCTCGACTTACAACAGTTCATTTAGCGTCTATGGAGATTCTCAGTCATCCAGGTCATAGTTGTCCCAAAAGTGCTTTTTGAAAAGGCAACTGGACTTTCTGGGTTTTCTTTGAAGACGTTTTGCTTCTCATTTGAGAAGCTTCTTCAGCTCCGGCTGGATGGTGGGGAATGGAAGGGTTTATACTCCTTGCAGACAGCTGGTCATTTGCATTCTTTTTAGAGAGTCATTGAGGCCACCTGGATGTTTATCTGTGTCATCAGGATCACCTGAGTAGTGCAAATGGGTGTGGAGCCTTCTTGGAACTGTTGAAAGGACTGTGTTGTAAACTAGAGATAGATTATATTTGCACTACTCAGGTGATCCTAAGGACCACAGAGAAACCTCCAAGTGGCCTCAATGACTCTCTAAAACAGGGATCGGCAACCTTAAACACTCAAAGAGCCACAAAGGTCCTAACCGGAAGCTCCCGTTCAATTCTGAAGCTGACCGGAAGTCCAGTTCCCCCATCATAGTCTCCTCCTAGCACGGCATCCTTTTTCTTCTGCTGACCGGAAGTCTGGTTCCCCCATCATAGAGTCTCCTCCTAGCACAGTGTCCTTTTTCCTCTGCCAACTGGAAGTCCGTTCCCCCACCATAGAGTCTCCTCCTAGCGCAGCATCCTTTTTCCTCTACCTGTCCTAACCAAAAGCCCTACCAATTGTGGAGCTGACCAGCAACAGGGAGCCGCAGCAGAGGGATGAAAGAGCCACATGCGGCTCCAGAGCCGCAGGTTGCTGACCCCTGCTCTAAAAGAATGCTAAAAATCAGCCTTCTACAAGGAATATAAATCCTTCCATTCCCCACCATCCAGTCAGTTGAAGAAGCTGCTGAAATGAGAAACGAAACATCTTCAAAGAAAAACAAGGAAGTCCAATTGCCTCTTGAAAAAGCAGCTTTGGGACAGTTCATTTAGTGACTGTTCAAAGTTACGACGTCCCTGAAAAAAGGGACTTATGACCAATTTTCACACTTATGACTGTTGCAGCATCCCCCTGGTCACATGATCAAAATTCAGAAGTTCGGCTTTTCAGGAGCGCAGCCCTGATGAGAACGCACAACATTTCTGTCATCACTGGCCTATCTCATCGCCTGTGTTATACTACCAAACCTCAATGAGAGAATCACCAGTCTGAATTGAGTCTCCGCTGAAGAAAATAAGTTATTGTTCTACGTAAATACTTACAAAGAAATTTCTTCTTCTTTTCTAAAGGGAATTCGTGAAATGTTTCCCAGAACATTTGTACAGTTGGGTGTGTAGCTGAATAATCTCCCTTGTAACTTGCACTCTGTAAAATAGATGCAAATGACAACAAGTTGTTTAAGAACAAGAGGTCAATTATGATAATAATTTGAAATCATAATTTGGGTGTGCTGGGTAAAGAGCCCACTAACCTCTTCCAGCTCCTTCCAGTTGTATTTGCTACTTCCAACGATCATAGCCCTCAACTCAGTAGGCTGGAAGAGTTCAAGCACCTTCCCACCACACACCTTCAAGAAGCCACTTGAGAAAGCAGTGTACCACTCATGCACTGAAACGTTGAAGACGTAATTCACATAGGCATCCACAAATTCCTGTCTGGGGGATCAGAAGGAACATCTTATTTCTCTCTAAATAGAAATGGCCCTTTGTTGACCAGGAATCGAATGTTTCTATTGACAGTCTTGAAGGAGCATATGTGCCAATGTGGCTACCAACTCGAGATTCATGGGAATTGCAATAGAAGTGCAGCCTAATTTTTCATCCCTTCGTTTTATCAGCCAAACTATGCTAAACAAACAATGCAAAAGATTTTTTAAAGGATGCCATTTTGCTGAAATTTTATCACTTTAAATTGTGGCTCGTCTCCTTTTTTTCTCTCTCTCTCCTGTGTGCATAATTACATGACCTATTCTTTTAATCTGGCTGTAGCACAAAACCGGGATATTAGATATTGTAGGATCAGGTTTCTCCAATCTGACAATGTCCACTATCAATTATAAATACCAATCTGGCACAACTGGAGGGCACAAAGTCAAACAAGAGCTGAAATCTCAGCTCTTGCAGCAGAATACAATATGCGCTAGAACGAACAGAAGCTTGAATCCATGTATCAGCATCTAATACGGCGGTGCGATAGCTCAGTGGTTAAGACACTGGGCTTGTCGGCTAGAAAGCTGACAGCCCAGGTTCAAGATCTGAGCATCGTGCAATGGGTGAGTTCCCGTCTTTGCCTAACTCCTGCCCACCTAGCATTTTGAAAGCATGCTAATGTGAGTAGATAAACGGGTACCACTTCTGTGGGGAAGAAACAGTGCTGTGCAATGTCATACTAGCCACATGACAGCGGAAATGTCTTCAGACAGTGCTGGCTCAACAGCCTTGAAATGGAGATGAGCGCTGCCCCCTGTAGTCAGCAACGACTAGCGGAGTAAAATATGCACAGATTCCTTTCCTTCCATTTCCTTCCTCTGTCCTTATATGTCCCCTTGGATGGAGCAAAATCTGAGATAATGATGGAGGCCAGAAGCAAAGAATAGAACCTGATCTTTCTTATATCTCACCATCCCATCATGGATTATTTATCAGTTTGAAACATGTTTCTTCATGGCTCTTTTTTCCTTAAGTTTTATTTTTAGACGCATGCCCTCCTACCTGATTAGGCAAATTTGATACTCTTAAGAATTCTAAACTGAAGTTGTTGGCCTCATGAAGAAGGATCCAAAATCATTCAGAAAATCATTCAGCTTCAATCATTTAACCTTCTTCAACCTTACCATCAACCCAACACTTACCTATTATTGTTCTGCACAGGTATTTTGTCTCCATCAGGAACAAGATTTTTCTGCTCCACTACTCCATAACTCTCTTTGCATATCTGTATTTCCAACCCAAACAAACGATGACAAAGCTGAATTATTCCAGTTTATCTCTTGAGCAACAGCAACAGTATTATTATTTCCCAGCAGGGACACATTTTAAACAAAACCTTTTGTCTTTCCAATATGACTGATGTTAAGATAGTCTTGGTTTATTGCAAGTGACAATTTCTAATTTGACATACTAGGGATACGGAAGTGTCAACTTTGCAACAACTAAGTATATAATTCATTCCAAAATCTGTAGGATAGATTTTTGAAAACTGAAAATTCTCCAGCTGTGTTAAAAATCCCAGAATTCTCAACTAGTTATTCAATCTTGAATTTTCAGGATTGCAGTCAATATTTTTAGAGAGTGCCCATTTAGGAAAAATGGGGATAGATAGGTTCTGAGATACTTTCAGATTGATAAAGTTTTCAGGCTGCCTCTGTCTCTTTTTCTCTTTGGGATATTCCAGCATGAGGAAGCAGAATTAGAACTTTCAGAAGATGCCTCCATGAACACAAATTAAAGAACTAGAAGGGACTATCCAACCTATGAAGTCCAACCTTCTGCTTAATACAGGAATCCAAATTAAGATCCTAAACAGAAAGCTACCTAGAATCTGATTGATAATTTCCAGTGAGGTTGGTCAAACATGTTCTACAGTTGTAGCTAAATGTCTACAGAGATTCTCAGTCATCCAGGTCATGGTTGTCCCAAAAGTGTTTTTTTTTCAAGAGGCAACTGGACTTTCTGGTTTTTCTTTGAAGACATTTTGCTTCTCATCCAAGAAGAAGTGAAATGTCTTCGAAGAAAAACAAGAAAGTCCAGTTTTCCTCTTCAGAGCTGAAGAAGCTTCTGGGATGAGAAGCGAAACATCTTCAATGAAAAACAAGAAAGTCCAGTTGCCTCTTGGAAAAAAAGCACCTTTAGGATGTTCTACAGTTGAAACATTATTTTTCTCCAGTCAGAATCCGCTGCTTACACTCCAACATGATCGACAACAGATCAACTCCCTGTATTTTCAAACTTAACAGTTGAAAGGATCCAAAAATTGGGAGTGTTGGGAGTTATGGAACCAAGAAGAAAAACTACACTAGGAAGAAGGATACAACTTTTCAGTAATATATTTATCCAATGTCTTTTTTTGCTATATCCCAAATGGCCATCACAAATATCCCCTAATGCCCCCAAATCTGAGCTTTAAGAGAGGTCATCTTCTCTTGATGTACAGTATCTCCTGGAAATGGTAGAGCAGCTTGTAGAAAATCTCCTACTTCCAACCAATTTGAAACTAATATTGCTTTGGAGCACTGGCATTCGCTAAGCTTTCATAAACACCAACAGTAGGTATAAATTGTCCTTACTGTAAAGGAGAGGCAGAATGTTTCTTCGATATCTTCCCCGGGATAATCTAAAAGCTCTTGGAGGCTCCTAAACAGAAGGATAAAAATAGCAGGAAGAAAAAGGGAGAAATTTACTGGTTGCTTTAACTATGTATAGGTAACCCTTGATTTATGACCACAATAGAGCCAAAAATTTCTGTTGCTAAGTGAGATATTTGCGAATAGGGTAGGGTAGGGTAGGGTAGGGTAGGGTAGGGTAGGGTAGGGTAGGATAGAATAGAATAGAATAGAATAGAATAGAATAGAATAGAATAGAATGAAATAGAATAGAATAGAATAGAATAGAATAGAATAGAATAGAATAGAATTCTTTATTGGCCAAGTGTGATTGGACACACAAGGAATTTGTCTTTGGTGCATATGCTCTCAATGTACATAAAAAGACAAGATACATTCATCAAGAATCATAAGGTACAACACTTAATGATAGTCATAGGGTACAAATAAGCAATCAAATCATACTAGGAAACGATCAATATCAATATAAATCGTAAAGATACAAGCAACAGTTACAGCCATGCAGTCATAAGTGGGAGGAGATGGGAGATAGGAACGATGAGAAGACTAATAGTAATAGTAATGCAGCCTAATGTGAATAGTTTGAATAGTTTTGTGAGTTTTGCCCCACCAACGACATCACTGCAGTCGTTAAGTTAATAAATGCCAAGTTTGGGCAAAAGGGTTTCATCTTGTTTTTCCTCACAACCCTTCATGAGCTAGATTGGGCTGTTGAAGAAAATGAGATTGGGCCAAAGTCAACCAGTGAGCCAATCCATGTGATCCCCTTTTGAGACCTTCTGACGAGCAAAGTCAATGGAGATGCTGGATTCACTTAACAACCGTGTAACTAACTTATCAACTGCGGTGATTCGCTTAACAACTGTGGCAAGAAAGGTCGTAAATTGGGGCAAAGCTCACTTCACAAATGTCTCAGTTAACGACAGAAATGTTGGGCTCATTTGGGGTCGTAAGTCGAGGGAATCCCCGAACTACACCACACTGGTTGTCAAATTTTGCACATGTTGGGCATACACGATTCATGGCTCTCCTTTTCAAAGATCCTATATATAATCACATGGTTTGCTTTTGATGTTATTTTGGGGGATGGAAAGCTTTGTCTCCAAGGAAATGTACTGAATTTCAGCCTAAAGTATATATTTGCCAATTCTTTTCTTTTCCCCTACAACAGAGGACATTGTAATTTTATGCTGATCACGCAAAATGGCCAGGATAACATCCCTGGGCAATATCTACTGTACTTTTTGGGGTATAAGATGCACTTCCCCACCCCCCAAAAGAGGGTGGAAATGGTGCATCTTATACACTGAATACAGCCATTTTTGGCCTCCTGCCCCACGCGTCCCGTTTTCGCCAAAACCGGGCCTGTTTTTCACAAAAATGGGGCCTGCAGAGGGTTTGGGAGCCCCCTCCTGGGGGCTGGGGAGGGCAAAAACTTTTTTTTTCTTGTTTACCTCTTCAAAATCTTGGTGCGTCTTATACTCCGGTGCATTTTATAGTCCAAAAAATACAGTACCTTCCTTCCAGGGGAGAAAGCTCCTTCAAGTCATCCAGGCCGGGGTTCGCATTCAGAAGTTTCTTATATAAGGCCAATGGAAAGTGGAGGTCCACCACGGTGAAGTTGTAGATAGCCAGACCACAGATGATGCCAATTAGGTGAAACCAGTTGTGCTCAACAAAACACTTTAGGAAGAAGGAAAGCAGCGTTAGGAGGAAGTCTAGAACTAAAATAATAGATTTCAGGTTAAAAAGCTGCTAAATTCACTTCCAAACCAACATCTGTTTTGCCCAGCCTTTCTTCACTGGAATACTCCAGATGTACTACTACATAGAGCAATCTGATCCCTAGTGCAGAGGTCCCCAGGCCATGGCCCATTCAGATCTGGGCTGTGCGAGCAACTGGCTGGAGCACGCATTCGTGCGTGCAGTTTCACTTGCACAAGCACTGGGCTAGCACACATGCAACTTGTCTTGCACGAGCAGTGAGCCAGTGCACATGTGCATGCACAGCTTGACTTGCACGTGCAGCGGGCTGGTGCATGCACATGTGCGCTCACTCAGGGCAGCCTGCCACTTGCACAGACCCGTCCTCTGCTCCCCCCACCCCCCGCTGGGCCATCAAGCCGTAAAGGTTGCCTTAGAGAGCTGCAGGTCTGCACAAGACTAAATAAACTCTTGAGTCAATTACAGATAGCACTTGACTTAGAATCATAATGGAACCTCCCCATCCCAATCTTTAAGTCACTACAGTTGTAAATCGGGTCACCCACCTAACTGACTTGATTTTATGATCTTTTCTGCAACAGATGTTAAGCAAACACAATGGTCGTAAAGCAGCTACCTTGGTCACGAAGCAAATGCCATGACCGTTAACCCAACCAATGGTTTGTTACGGAATATTTTGGCCGAAAACTGGACGTAAATGCTCGGATTTGGCAAAATCATCCAAACATATGATCATGTGATCGTGGGGCATTGCAAATGGCCATAAATGTCATAAATACCCCAGGGAAGTCCATTGTTATTTCAAATGGACTTTAAGCGAGGATTGCCTGTATTCAGGAGAACGCAGTAGCCATACTTAGGAGCATAGAAGCTCTGGTGGCTCAGCAGACTCATTAACACTCACTTACATCTGCTGCCTGCAATTACTGCAAGTTCAAATCTCACCAGGCTGAAGGCTGACTCAGCCTTCCATCCTTTCTAAGGCAGGTAAAATGAGGACCCATATAATGGGGGCAATAAGCTGACTTTGTATAAATATACAAAAGTATGAAGGCTATTGCTTAATGCATTGTAAGCCACCCTGAGTCTCCGGAGAAGGGCGGCATATAAATCAAATTAAAAAAAAAAAATACTTACAGTATCCGAGAACCAGAGCAGATTTGAGTCTGAATAGCAGGTGAACATTCCGTAGATGGGATTCAAGAGCTCTTTCAGTAGGAGGAGAAAGAATTCCTTTGTGACACCTCCAGCATCTACAGCTTCCTCACCATCAAAGATCACCTACCAGAACATACTGAATTGATTTCAACAAGGGCAGTTTTATTTAACTATTAAACAAACGTATACGGCCGCCCACCTCACAAACAATGCTTTAAGATGGTTTTCATGGGCAAAAGAGAATAGCCAATTGGCATTGTCTATGGAGATTCTCAGGTCATGGTTGTCCCAAAGGTGCTTTTTCAAGAGGCAACTGGATTTTGTTTCTCCGTGAAGACATTTCAGTTCTTGTCCAAGAAGCTTCCGTTCTGAACTGAAGAAGCTACTTGGATGAGAATGTCAGAGTTTGTTGCGGAAATCAAATCCAGAAAGCTGGATAAACTGATTCAGCAGGATTCATTAACTTCTTTATATACATAATAATACATGAATTAAATTTACAATACCAACAGCAGATTTCTTTCAACTTGGTAGCAGTTACAAGCAAAACACAAGCAGAGCACAGCAGACTAGTTTCAGTTCAGAGCAGGCAAGCCCAGACTTGTTTAGTACTCAGCACAAAATCAGACTCAGAGCTTAAAGTTGCAGGACTAAGCCACGCCCAGACTTCTTACTTAAGTTTCTGTTTCTAAACAGCTCTCATTGGCTGACCCAGTTGCTATGCCTATTCATTGGCTGACCTTGTTACCATGTCTTCCCAGTCATGAATATTCCGACAGAGAAGCAAAATGTCTTCAAGGAAAAACAAAGAAAGTCCAGTTGCCTCTTCAAAAAGCACCTTTGGGACAATAGATTCATTCTAGCTCACATTGAAAAAAATGGGGTGACAAGCCATGGCAGGGGATCCCACCTCTCTGAGAAAGTCGTCGTATTTTATTTTTTTAAAAAATTGAATGTTACCTCACAAATGGGGTTACCCTTCACAGCGTTCTTCATTTCATATGGAGATAATTATTTTGTATGGGTGAAGGAGTCCCTCACCCTTATTTACCAATAATCAGAAATAAAACTTACTGAAGCATTCCAGATGTGAATTGGATGCTGCTGTGAAGATTAGGTCACATTGACAAGAGCTTACCTTCAAAGGTTTTTTCAAGTCAACATCCGAATGGATGCTCAGTTCTCTCAGAGCATCGCCAACCAAGTTGCTCCTGCGAACATGAAGGACCAGGAATGGGCTTCGAGCGAGAAGGGGCTCCAGAGTGAGAAACATAAAGACATTCTGTAGATTTGCTCCACTAATGGCCACCTAGAAACATTTGAGAAATGGATTTCAAGGGAGAGTTCCTCAACCATTCCCCACCTCTTGTTCCCCTGACATCCAAGGAGACGAGTTATGTTTCTTTAAGTAGAAAGAAATTGATAGCCTGGTGGTGGAGTGCTTAGAATGAGTATTGCAGGCTAACCCTGCCCACTGCCAGCAGTTCAATCCTGATCAGTTCAAGGTTGACTCAGCCTTCCATCCTTCAGAGATCGGTACAATGAAGACACAGATTGATGGGGAGAATATGCTGACATTGTAAACCACTCAGAGAATGCTGTAAAGCACTGTGTGTTATGGTCCGCCAGCAGCCTGCAAAACTGGCAGCAGAGTCGGACAGTGAGGAGGCTGGGGAGGACCATGGGCCAGTCCTGGAGTCTGGGGAAGGCTCAGGCAAGGGCTCTGCATTGGAGGCAGAGAAAGGGCCATCTGGGAGGTATGTGCTGCCTCCGGAGCCTCCAGAATCAGACCTCAGCGAGGCAGAGGAACAGGGGGAGCCTGTTCCCACTGCGCGCATGTGCAGAGCTGTCAGAAGGCAAGAACAGCTAAAACAAAAGGGACGACTCGGGAGTAGGGCTGAGAGATGATTGGCCCCTCCCATAAGACTTAAAAGAGGACATGGGCCTTTGCAAGAAGCAACGTTTGTTCATTCGGTTCAGCTTAAAGCCTGAAGCTCTGTTTGATTCTGGCTTTGCTAATTAGGTCTTTGGCAGTGTGTCAAGGGAGATAAAGGTGGATGATTATCCTGAAGGACTTCTCCCGAAGGCAATAAAAGAGGTTTTTGAGACTACTCGTGTGTTTTAATGACTCAGGGAGCCTCGGTCAGAACACTGTGGATGGTATGTAACTCTAACTTCTATTGCCATTATAATGAGGCAATCTCAAAAGCTGAGGTTATTATGGGTTTGCATGTATACTGGGCTTTAAATATTAACCTTCTAAAATAGGAAGCAGTTGCTTAGACTCCCAACGTTGGCAACTTCCAGTTGGGTGGACTTCTCAACTATGAACATGCTGGTTGTGAAGTTCTGGAAATGCTGCCCATGGATAGAAAGGAATACAGCCTCAATACTGAATTCCTCCATTCTTTTCAGAGCTAAATAGCAGGAAGGATTATACCTGCTATGCTAGAGAGCAAAACTTTTTCTAATCATCAACATTCTGAACTCTAATTATTATTCTTCCCTCCCGATCCTATTCCCCAAGGTGTTCATATACAAATGGGAAGAAAAAAGGGAAAAGGAATATTTCTTTATCTTTAAAAAAAAGTTGATTAATGATTATGGGATCCTTTCATACTAGATATCTAACATGAAAAAACCTACAAAATACATTCAATAAAGTTCAGAAAGGATTGTTCTCAAATCAAATCCAGCCTTCTTGAATTACAACAATTGTACAGCTCTTAATGGACAACAACACACTGTGTGAATGTTGAGAGACGCAGAGTCTGGCCCATTTGCTGGTATGTTGGCTACTACCAGAAACATGTACCGATAATGTTTAGCTGACAACAAAGCCAAGAAGGTGGCTTCACTCTGGCCACTCAAAAGTATGATGTAGACATGGGGGGAGGAGGAAGGGGAGGAGAATAGAATAGAATAGAATAGAATGGAATGGAATGGAATGGAATGGAATGGAATGGAGTGGAGTGGAGTGGAGTGGAGTGGAGTGGAGTGGAATGGAATGGAATGGAATGGAATGGAATGGAATGGAATGGAATAGAATAGAATAGAATAGAATAGAATAGAATAGAATAGAATAGAATAGAATAGAATAGAATAGAATTTTTTATTGGCCAAGTATGATTGGACACACAAGGAATTTGTCTTTGGTGCATATGCTCTCAGTGTACATAAAAGATACATTCATCAAGAATCATAAGGTACAACACTTAATGACAGTCATAGGGTACAAATAAGCAATCAGGAAACAATCAATATCAATCGTAAGGATACAAGCAACAAAGTTATAGTCATACTATATAAGTGGAAGGAGATGGATGATGGGAACAATGAGGAAGAGGGGAAGGAGAAGGAGAAGAAGAAGAAGAAGAAGAAGAAGAAGAAGAAGAACAACAACAACAACAACAACAACAACAACAACAACAACAACACACTTTCCTATGGAATTCTCCAGTTGGGTGGAGTGCACTGTCTTGACCTACAAAATCTAACCCACCTGTTTCCTAGGATGGGAGACCACCAGAAGCTAAATCAGTTTATAGGCTACAGTAACAAATTGAAAAAACAACAACAAGGTACTAGGATGCCACTTCTGTATAGTTGACATGAAAATCTACATGTTCACAAAGTCATTACAAGAAATTCAATTGCAAAGAACTGAGATTACTAGCCTTTAAGCCATCTTGTAAAAAACAGTTAACTTGACTAGGTCCTCTCCAAATAATCCCGTAATTTTCTTTTTTTCCAAGCAGTCTTTTTTCCTTTGGAGGAAAACAAGGTAGCTTATAGTCTTTGCACTAGCGCCATCTCCTGGGAAGTGCAAACAGTAACTCAGGATGAATTCCTACCCAACAAAAGGCAGAATTCAGCAGCGGATACGGCAAAATTATTGTTCTGCCTTCCACGGTCACTTCTGGCACCGCAGTATTTTATACATACACAAAGTGTAATAATTCCCAAAAGGGATGGCATAAGATTCCACTTTTCCTCCTGGCTATTGGTTAGAAATGCAGACACATGTTGTTAAAGAACAGAGCATCCCATTTTTTCACATCCAAGGTGGGAAGGACTGTAGGTGACTCAGGTTGTGCCCAACTGATATAAATGAAGATCCATCTATTTCAAAGGCAAATCAATCCATCTAATTTAGCCTGAAATGAAGGAAGGAACTAACGTTTCCAGCCTACAGCCCCCACATTCGTGATGTTGGTTAAGGCTCATGCAGGTGGCCAATCGTCACATCTGGAGGAGCAAATGTTTCCAAAAGGAAAAGACAGGCAGAGTGAAAGAAGGCACCGTACCTGCATCTGCAGTTTAGCATCAGTCTGCAACATCTTCGTTTTGGCTTGTCCATCAAAGATAAAAGGATAAGAGCACAGAGTCACAGAGTCCTGGAAAGAAGGAACAGTTCAATGGTGGCCGTTTCAGATTCCAGTGAGAACTGTGTCGGCGAGAGAAACTGGAATATTTACCTGCATGATAGACGGTCTTGCTTTCTGTGCAAGGAGAGAAGAAAAAAGAAATATAAACAGCATAAGCTTCCAACAAGCATGGCTAATAGTCATTTGGTTAAACTTTATCTCATTATAACAATCACAGATATCTGCAGATATAAGATTTAGCAGTATCAAAAAGTGTTTCAGTTGGGGTGTCCAACTTTGCAACTTTAAAACCTATGGACTTCAACCCCCCCAAATTTCCCAGCCAGCATGGGAAAGCTGAAGTCCATACATTTTAAAGTTGCAAAGTTGAACACTGCTGGTTTTTGATATTCTCAGCCTTTTAGAAGAACAGGTTAAAAATGCCAGTACCCCACATCTCCTTTAGGGTAGTGGTCACCAACTAATGGTCTGTGGACCACTGGTGGTCTGTGAAAAAATGTTGGTGGTCTGCAGAAAAATTATTTGCATTTTTATATTGCACTAAACATTATTTATCTTTTTTAAAAATTCATATTAGTGGTCCACGGGATTTAAAATTATGAATTTAGTGGTCCCTGAGGTCCGAAAGGTTGGCGACCCCTGCTTTCGGGGACTGGAGGCTAAAACATATAAAGGATGGTTGCTGGGAGAGGGTATGTCTAGTTTAATTAAAAGAAGGACTAGGGGTAACATGATAGCAGGGTTCCGATATCTAAGGGGTTTCCACAAAGAAGACGGGGTCAAGCTATTCTCCAAAGCACCTGAAGGCAGGACAAGAAGCAATGGGTGGAAACTAATCAAGGAGAGAAGCTACCTTGAATTAAAGAGAAATTTCCTAACAGAACAATTAATTCAGTGGAACGACTTGCCTCCAGAAGTTGTAGATGCTCCAACAATGGAAGTTTTTAAGAAGAGATTGGACAATCATTTGTCCAAAATGGTATAGGATTTCCTGCTTGAGCAGGGGGCTGGACTACAAGACCTACAAAGTCCCTTCCAACTCTGTTATTCTGCTCTGTTCCTTTAATTTATCAACTACTGCTTTGCTTCTTCAATCTATTGCACATTCTCCTTAACTATTTGACATAGCCCAGGTAGTCAAATCTGGAAACAAAACTATATGCATACAAGTAACTTGCATAAAAACCTTTTCAGAATTCACAGTTGGCGAATGTTTAATTTTGATTCAGGGCGCACAGAACCTTCTAATTTAACTAGTTCCTGGAGCATTATTCAGTTTGGCAATTAAATGAAACTTCTTACCACTCTTGCTTGATGCAAAAACCACATCAGGTAGTCTTCTTGAATATCTATCAGATTAGAAATCTCTGGGATATAAAATTTGTCATATTCTATGTGGTTAGCTTTCTGATTTACCTGATATGGGGGAAAAAAAGAAATCAGAATCACGCAATAAACAATTTCTTCACAGAATTATTGCAAATCCCCAAAAGGAGACTAATTGTAAGAAAGGAAGACTCTACCAGATTTGGTTTCCCATTAAATTAATATCCTCTACAGGAAGTCCTCGACTTATGACCTCAATTGGGACCAGAACATCCATTGCTAAGCAGGGCAGTATCGAATGAGGCTTGTCCAATTTTACGACCTTTTTTTGCCACGGTTGTTAAGCAAATTACTGCAGTTGTTAAGTGAATCACATGGTCGTTAAACAAATCCAGCTTCTCTCATTGACTTTGCTTGTTGGAAGCTGGCTGGGAAGATTGCAAATGGAAATCATGGGACTTCAGGATACTACAACTATCATAAATACATGACAGTTGCCAAGCAACCAGATATTGAACGCATCACCATGGGGATGCTGCCATTGTTATATATATAAGTGATCATAAGTTACTTTTTTCACTGCCACTGTAACTCTGGATGGTGGCTAAATGGATGGTTGTAAGTTGAGGGTTATCTATAGTTTGCATATCAATTTGCACAATATTTTTTTCAAAGTCAACACAAAAATGCATTCCGAGTTTTCAACAATTTCTCTGTTAATTGCACATAATTTTTCCTAATAAAATAAGAGTATTTATTCATTATCTGCCCTCAATAAGTATTTTTTTATTGGGGAGCGGGGCAAAATATCTTGTAAAATTTGGAAACGTATAAACCTTGACATTCCTTCTTTCATTTTTCAAATAGGTTCAGGAAAGGCAAAGTAGGTATATAATGACAGCAATCAAAACATCGCTAAGAGTCCTAGAATCAATTTGCAGACAGATTATTCTAAAGAAAATCTATCCATGTATTGGTTGAGAATTAACACTGACTTGATGGCACTTAACCAACCAACCAACCAACCAACCAACCAACCAACCAATCAATCAATCAATCGATTTTTCACTCAGTTTAATTTAAAAGTAGCATTTACTTATGATGGAAATAAAAAGCAGTAGACAATAAAATTATGGCAGTGCTGTCCATCACAAATCTTATGCAAGATGGCATAAGTGCAAACACAAGTTGCATATACTGTATAGATCAGGGGTGTCAAACTGGCAGCCGGATGCGTCACGGCAGGCCACAGCAGGCCACGTCCACCCCAGCTCCATAAAAGGGAAAACCATCACGATACATCACGTTGACAGCAAAGTGACGCCACGAGTTTGACACCCATGATATAGATGAACATAAATCTACACAATCAAATATACAAGCTCTTCAAATTTATACTCTGCATTATATATTTTCCAAGTATGGAAAACCATACAACTCAGGACTTAAAGTATTCCATACTTTACTTTTACTTTACTTTACTTTTATTTGATTTATATAATTGGGGTTTTAATTTGTCTGGGCCAAAACTATTTAATTTGATTTTAATTCTGCTTTTTAAATTTTGTATGTATGGATTTTATTGTTGGCTGTTCACCGCCCTGAGTCCTTCGGGAGTAGGGCGGTATATAAATCAAGTAAAAGTAAAAGTAAAATACACACACACACACACACACACACTCACAGCAAACGTACAATGTACAAATGTTTGATGGAAAAACAATCAGGGGCATCATTGTCATTAAAGACCAATGTATACAGACTCACAGAATTATTTTCTTACTTTATGTAATTTCTCCAGAAGTTTTAATGCAGCTGTGATGTAATTGCTATACAAGACTGGGACCTGGAGTGTTTTTTTCCCATTCAAGAGATAAACCACGGCATCTTTATAGAGATCCACTAGTCTCAAGAAATACTCTGGGCATACCTGAGACCACCAGTTTTCTAAATAAAGATTACATAAAGCAAAACGGGTTATTGATTTCAGTATTATAATAATGGAAATTGAATGAAAAACCAACATGATGGCTGGCTGGGATTCTGGGAATTGAAGTCCACCTATCTTCAAGCTGTCAGGGGTTGAGAAACACTTTCACAGATCCTGAAGATAAAAAATGAGGACAGCAGCCAGATCCTAGACCAGTGTTTCCCAGCTTTGGCAACTTCATGTGTGGACTTCCACTCCCAGAATTCCCCAGCCAGAATGGCTGGCTGGGGGATTCTGGGAATTGAAGTCCACATATCTTCAAGCCGTCAGAGTTGAGAAACACTGGTCTAGGATCTCAAATATGTTCAATGAGATCAGAGATGTACTTTTGGAAAAAAATCAAAAATATTAATTGCAATCCAATCTTAAGGAAGTGAATCCTCCCGAATCAAGCAGATTTACTTGCTACATGAACCAAAGACTACGCTATTAAATCCGAATGCCTTCCTTGAGTTTTAACACTATCATGTTGTTGAAATGCCTGAATAGGGGACGGACGGACTGGTCCATATTGTCCAATTGGTATGTGGAGCCCAAAAATGGATCACAGAAACTGAAGAGGAAAAAAAAAAGGGGGGGGGGCCTGCAAATTGGATTAGTGATTCTTCTGGCCCTAAGGAATATTCTGTCAAGCACCAGGGAAACCAGGAGATCCAGGCAGTTCAAATGTGTATAAATATTTATTGTAAAATTAATCTCTCTACAAGAATCTGACCAACTGAGCCTGGATAGCTCAGCAGACTAATGCATTGTAATTTAACTCCAGCTGTCTGCAATTAGTAAGTTCGAATCTTGCCAGGCTCAAGGTTGACTCAGCCTTCCATCCTTTCTAAGGTAGGTAAATTGAGGACCCAGATTGTGGGGGCAATAAGCTGACTTTGTAAAAATATACAAAAGTATGAAGGCTATTGCTTAACGCATTGTAAGCCGCCCTGAGTCTCCGGAAAAGGGCGGCATATAAATCAATTTTTTTAAAAATTTTTTTAAAAAAAACTAACAGTCAAGGGAAATTAGCGGGTGTTAAGAATAAAAAAGAATTCAAGTTGAGCTAAACTTAGATCTCTCATGGGCATGAAGGGACTCATGACTGATGACATGTTTGACTCCTCTTTCAGACTCAGCCTGGTCATTTCCTACATATTAACAGCTAAAAAATAGTCCTACATCATTGAAAAGCATCCTTCACCCAGGTATTAATCAGGCAACAGCAACGCACCATGTTGCAAAGGGGACATTAACAGTTCTTAAAAGGGGCAGTGAAATTTGGTGCCATTTCCTTCACTATGTTGGAAATCATTCATTTGGTGCCTCCTGTTTAGCTTCTAGATTCAACTTTCAACAACTAAACTCCTATTTTATATTTGTTTTATGAAACAAAAAATGAGGGAATGGTAATTTGGAAGAGATGCAAATGGATGAGACTATTTGTATGCATTATTATTGTGAGGTTAAAGCATCAGTTAAGGTTCTAAATGATGCCTATAGCAATTCTCAGTCATCCAGGTCATGGTTACCACAAAGATGCTCTTTCAGAAGGCAACTGGACTTTCTTGTTTTTTCTTTGAAGACGTTTCACTTCTCATCCAAGAAGCTTCTTCAGCTCTGACTAGATGGTGGGGAATGGAAAGATTTATATAGCTATGCAATTTGGGATGAACACCCTTCAAATGGTGTGGGACACTGAACGGATTTCCAAAAAAAATTGCAGACTACAGGAACTATTAGCACTACTGAGGTGAGGGTGTAAGGATTTAAATTACCAGCTGTCTGCAAGGAATATAAATCCTTCCATTCCCCACCATCCTGTCGGAACTGAAGAAGCGTCTTGGATGAGAAGCAAAACGTCTTCAAAGATAAAACAAGAAAATCCAGTTGTCTCCTGAAAAAGCATATTTGGGTTCTAAATGATGATAAAAATGCAAAGTAACGGAGCAATTTGGAAGTGCCATCTAAAAAGCAACTTATAGCTGAAGAAGATACTGTGAATTGCCCACCACTGGATCCCTCAATTTTGTCTCATCGACTCATTTCTAACCCCTTAACGCAGCCCTTTTCATCCCCTTTCCACCTGGAAAAATGTGTTGGTTGATGCATATGGAAGTTTGAGGTGATGACCAGGACAGGTGAAATGGAAGGTGATGTCCTAAAAGCACCACTGATGATGTCCACAACCAAGGAGGACCACAATATTACTACGGGGTTTCTACGGGGAAGTTCTGTCTCCAAGAAAGTGCTGTAGCCATAGAAAACTTAAGCTCTCGCTTTCAACCCAAGTCAACCAAGGAATTTAAGAGAAAGCAGTCAGAAGACTTAACTGGGCTGAAGATTAAGTGGTAGTATTTCTTGGCATTTCACAGGGCTGATATAAAACCTGTTTTGTGACTTATTTTGTCCTCAAATCAATGTAAGACAGCCCACTCCCAGAAAAGAGGTTTGCATCTTCTACCTAAAACTTTACTGGGATTTTTGTCCAGGCGCAGGATGGCCGTTGCCAAAGGAAGCGTTAAGTTTACGTAATATTTTGAGTCTTGAAAGAGAGGGCATTCCGGAAGAATCAGATAGATCCTCATGGCTTCAACATCTGGCGGGGAGCTAGGCAGCTGGGGGATCAAAAAGCTTTCAAAGCTCTTCAAAATCTGGAAGAAGAAGAAAGAAAATTAGGCATGGATTACAGCCCTTATTAAAAAGCAGAGACATCACCCTGCCAACAAAAGTGCTATGGTTTTCCCAGTTGCAATGTATGGCTGTGAAAGTTGGACCATAAGAAAGGCTGAGCACCGAAGAATTGAGGCCTTTGAACTATGGTGCTGGAGAAGACTCCTGCGAGTCCCTTGGACTGCAAGGCGATCAAACCGGTCAGTCCTAGAGGAGATCAACCCTGACTGCTCTTTAGAAGGCCAGATCCTGAAGATGAAACTCAAATACTTTGGCCACCTAATGAGAAGGAAGGACTCACTGGAGTCCGTTGTGCCCCTTTTGGTCGCCAAAGGGAAACTTTTGATACAAAACTGTAACCACGTTCCATTGAAGGCAATTTTAACACTTTGCACAACCAGACAAGTATAAAGTTCACCATGATTTGAAGCACTGTAGCTATGTATGGTTATTATATACAGCACCCCTACTTGATCCTAGCATATCTTTCCCATAAACCAGTGGGCAAAGTAATTGTGCGGATTGTGTCTGAGCTGTGACACAATCCGCACAATTACTTTGCCCACTGGAACTGCATTAATTGCATCGCATTAAATAAATGGCTAAGATGATGTGGTTCTTGTACAGAATGGTTTGGTAAAATGAAATACTTGCCACAGAGAAAAATTAGAGAATGACCGTCTTTTTTTTTCAAAATGTCTTGCAAAATTCTGTTATTGTAGTAGCCAGTCTTGATAAAAATTTTAGCCTCCTTGTGAAATTTAGCGCCTGGTCTAGTCTACCGAGTCAAACTGCCCAAGGAGCTGCTGATATAGTTTTACAGAGAAATTATTGAGTCTGTCATCTGTACCTCTATAACTGTCTGGTTTGGTTCTGCAACCCAACAAGACAGACACAGACTTCAGAGGATAATTAGAACGGCAGAAAAAACAATGGCTACCAACCTGCCTTCCATTGAGGACCTGTATACTGTACGAGTCAAAAAGAGGGCTGTGAAAATATTTACAGACCCCTCACATCCTGGACATAAACTGTTTCAACTCCTACCCTCAAAACGACGCTATAGAGCACTGCACACCAGAACAACTAGACACCAGAACAGTTTTTTCCCAAACACCATCACTCTGCTGAAGAAATAATTCCCTCAACACTGTCAAACTATTCACTAAATCTGCAGTACTATTAATCTATCGTTCCTATCACCCATCTCCTCCCACTTATGACTGTATGACTGTAACCTTGTTGCTGGTATCTTTAAGATTTATATTGACTGTTTTCTTATGACTATCATTAAGTACTGTACCTTATGATTCTTGACGAATGTATCTTTTCTTTTATGTACATTGAGAGCGTATGCACCAAGACAAATTCCTTGTGTGTCCAATCACACTTGGCCAATAAAGAATTCTATTCTATTCTATTCTATTCTATTCTATTCTATTCTATTCTATTCTAGTGGAAATGATATGCTATCATAATATAAGCCCCACCTATGAAAAGAATGGCACTTATTCCACAATGGTGGAATATTGCACCACAATGGTGCAATATTTTTTTCATTATATTGACAAAGTGATCCTGTAGGAATCTTTGTGTGGCAAGTCCTCAAAAATTCAAGCCAGGATTTGCTTCATGGCATCCCTGGAACTGGATGGATCCTAATTTAAAATTGTTTTCTAAACTTTTTTTTAAAGAACAGAGTAGAGTAGAGTAGAGTAGAGTAGAGTAGAGTAGAGTAGAGTAGAGTAGAGTAGAACAGAACAGAACAGAACAGAACAGAACAGAACAGGAGTTGGAAGGGACCTTCCAACCCCATGCTCAAGCAGGAAACCCTATATCATTCAAGACAAATGGTTGTCCAATCTCTTCTTAAAACTCTCCAGTGTTGGAGCATTCACAACTTCTGACGCAAGTCATTTCACTGATTAATTGTTCTCACTGCCAGGAAATTTCTCCTTAGTTCTAGGTTAGTTCTTTCACTGATTAGTTAATTTCAAATTTGAGATTAGTTTCAAATTTCAAAACCATCAGGAAAAAACAACGGGATGAGTATCCAGACATGTGTTAGACGTAAAATGCATAATTTTGTTTTTACTTATCAAGGGGGAAAAAACTGATATGCTTGTGCCACAATTAATTCCAATAGTTTAATTTGCACTAATGAATCAATTCTTTGAAGTTACCGTTCAAGCTTTCTCAACCTAATGTCCCCCAGGCATTCCCACAATCTACCAGGCAGCAAGTGGAGGAAAAGAGTTTAATCTTGAGTTTTCTCCTTAAATACTCCCAGAAGGAAGCAAACACTTGGCTTAACACTACTACTACTATAAGTTTCAGTACCTGGTCACGCAATGTAGAATGCTGAGATGTCATTAGCTTATTAAACATCACTCTGGTGCAATTCAAGTCAATCCCTGGAATTTTGGGACTCGTTTTAAAATGTTCATCTATTCTAGAAAAGAATAAGCACATTTATATCATGTTTTTCTTGGAGCAAAGAATTTAGGCATGCAATGCACCGAATATAAAAACAGCAAGCTGTTATTTTAGCTTACAACCTATAAGTATATATGACTCAAATTTCTCATACAAATATCATCTACAGAAGTGGAACCCTATCCAAAGTACAGAACCAAATATTAAGGCATTTTTTTCAGGATTATTTTATATTCCTAAATTCCAGATAGAATCCGGTCGGCTACAACAGCTTTCAAATATATAAAGTTCAACTCAAAGAATTTTGAATTCAGAGTATCTTTTCCATACATGGAACAGTCAATGGATTCAAAGCAGCCTGAATTTAAAATAGTTCACCCTTCCTTAATGAGGGGGATATAAGTTTATATTTTCTAAAATTTACAGGGTTTTTTCCCCCCTTCCTTTAGATTTGCTCAATTTTGAAAGCAGAAACACCATCAAACCAACAAAAAGCAAAATGTAACTCTTGGCCCAGAGCAAATTGTACCCACAAGTGAAACAAATGGATCAATAATTGATCCAATTAAGAAGTTCTGATAGTTCTCTTTATGATGGAGTGGAACAAATTGTAATGACACCTTCATATCAGATATGAGGAGACCAGCAAAAGAATCTGCAACATTACAAATCATGTAACTGAACATTAGATGTCTCCACAAATTAGCGTCTACAACATTTTGCAGTGAAAGAGAATTTTCGTAAGTTGTCAGTACCAAATACCAACCTCATGTTTCTTATTGGTGAGCTTGCAAGTAAACCACTGAGTCAGTTATTAGGAGCTTCAACTACAGCCGATGTTCTCTTGACAGAAGAGGAGGCTCCATTTAATCATATATTTTTACCAATTCCCTGCTAAAGCATGCAGATACAAAGAGCTAAATATAGCTTCTGAGACATAAGTACTATTGCCATAACAACACAAGACAATAGAAATAAGCAGTTCCTGGAAGTCTGTGTCCACCATTCTGGATACATAGACCTCTGGCAATATGGCAATTCAGCCAAATTGCCCCATTCTCTCTACCCATATATTAGATATACCGTATTTTTCACACTATAAGACACACTTCCCCCCTCTCAAAAGTGGGTGGAAATGTCTGTGCGCCTTATAGAGCGAATACTGCGGTGGGGAGGGGGGGAGGGGGTTGGTATGGTGACGGCAATGCTGGAGCCTTTGCTGCTGAGCAGCTGATTGGCGATTGGATCGGCCTCCCGGAATACCACAGATCAGCTGTTGTAGGTGGCAGGGATTGCCGCCGCTGCCTATCACTGCCGCCGCTCACCGCCGCCACCAAATGGCCATCGGCAGCGGCATTGAAGGCAATCGGTGGCAGCAAATGGTGACAATTGGAAGCTATAGGCGGTGGCGATCTCCACCGCCTACAACAGCTGATTGGCGGTATTCTGGGAGGCAGATCCAACCGCCAATCAGCTGTTCGGCAGCAAAGCCTCCAGCGTTTCCCAGGGGCAGTGACAACTCAGCTCAGTTGACCGGTGGTGGGTGCAACAGAATGGAGCCCTGACGAGCCACTTGCTGAGGCTATGATAACCTGCTGAAGCTGACCAGGCTGTTTTCTGCAAGGACGCTAGCGTCTTATAGTGTGAAAAATACGGTAAGTTATCACAATAATCTTTTGTTTCTCCCCATAAGATATGAAGAACGACAACTCCATGAGATCAAACTTTTTTTCCTTTTTAAAAAAATCCTGCCTCTTTCTTGTATCAGGAAGCTATAGAACCAGAATATTCTAACATTGGATATACTGAAGAATATTTCTGAACAATGGACTCAGAGGTTATTTTTAATACTGTCCACAGAGACATCTGCCTCTATGGAAAGATTGTGTCTAAAATATATTATGACAGAGGATCATGTGCTCCCTAATTAAGATTGAGTTTAAAATGGATTTACAAATGAAAGCCTACAAGAATGACATGGAAAAATATGTTACACGAGATATAAAAAAGAAACCGGTTTCATAATTAAAGGGGACATGCAAGCAATAAATCAGAAGAGTGACCTGGATAATTTTCCTATATTGGATTTACAAAAGAAGCTTGGTAACATTTTGGAGAATCTCAAGAGAAGGGACAATGAAAAAAAAATGAAAAGAAGTCAAGTTCTATAACATTATTTGAATGGACTAAAAATTAAGATTGTTAGAAGTAAAAGGAAGGAATATAAAACAGCTGTATTTGATCAGGGTTAATATTGATATGTGATCTCTGTAACACTTAATCAGTTTCTCCTGACACTAGGACTGAAATGACAATAATTTTTGTAGGTTTCTTTACAGATAAAAAAATGGAATATGGGAATAAGAGATTATTTGCTATACTTTAAGAAAAGATTATAAATTACTAAAAAATATTATATCTGTGCTGAAGGTGAGAATTCACTTCTATGGGTTTTTTGGTTTTTTTGATTTACTATATTCATGCTTTTCTTTCTTTTCTCCTTTTTTTTCTTTTCCGCACTTTCTACTCGTTCATTTCATTTTTCTACATTTTTTTAGTTTATGCTGATTTTTACTGGTGTAATTACAAGTAGTCCTCGACTTAAGATCACAATGGGGCTCAAAATTTCTATTGCTAAGCGAGATAGCTGTTAAGTGAGTTTTGCCCCATTTTGCGACCTTTCTTGCCACAGTTATTATGTGAATCACTGAAGTTGATAAGTAAGTAACCCGGTTTTTAAGTGAATCTGGCTTCCCCATGGACTTTGCTTGTCAGAAGGTTGCAAAAAGTGATCACGTGATCCCAGGAATGCTGCAACAGTCATAAATGTGAAAAACTGTCATAAGTTACTTTTTTCAGTGCCATTGTAACTTTGGATGTTTACTAAATTAATGGTTGTAAATTGAGGACTACATGTACTGTACAAGTAGTCCTCAATTTAACACAGTTCATTTAGTGACCATTCAAAGTTCTAACGGCACTGAAAAAAGGAACTTATGATTGTTTTTGACATTTACGACTTTTGCAGCATCCCTAATGGCCATCTGATCAAAATTCAGACACTTGGCAATCGACTCATATTTATGACGGTTTCAGTGTCCTGGGGTCACGTGATGACCTTTTGCGACCCTCTGACAAGCAAAGTCAATGCGGAAGCCAGATTCACTTAAAAACTGGGTTACTTACTTATCAACTTCAGCGATTCACTTAATAATTTTTGGAAATAAAATAAATAACTGTGGCAAGAAAAGTCGTAAAATGAGGCAAAACTCACTTAACAAATGTCTTACTTAACAACAGAAATTTTGGTCCATTCATTGTGGTCGTAAATCGAGGACTACTTGTATAATCTTTACTTTAAAAATTACTATAAAAGAGGAAGCTATAAAACCAGTATTTCTCTTCCCTGAATCAAATCTAGTCAATTATCAGTGGTCCAAGTTTAGTGATTTATACCGATTTAACATTTCAAAAGCTGGATTGGAAAGTTAGCCAAATATTTCCCCCCCCCCCCATTTTAAGCTACTTACTTGTTTTCAAGGAAGCTTCCATTCCAGCAAGCTGGTGAAGATAAGATCTGCACAACCTCACTGTTTAGGACAAGGAAAACGCAAGTAAGCAAAAGACAAGAAAACTGGTTAAAGCTTATATTGCTTAGGAATTGCATGTAACTTTTCATATACTGCCTTGATTTGTTTATCCACAGTTATCTGACTTACTGAGCTGAAATTGCCTTATTATGTAAATTGTGTTTACATAATACGCTACAAAACGCTATTCACAAACTCTAACAAACTGAGTTCTTATGACATGATAACCAAAATTAATCAAATCAGATTATGGATTAATGTAGTAACTGAACCTAATTGTTATTCACCCTTTTTTCTCTAATCTGTTCAATTGCCTTTGCTCTTAACACACTGACTTAAAATATACCACACACAACTAATCTAGAAATGCCAAATGGATTCTTTAGTTCAGCAGAGAAGAATTTGGTAAGAAGTGATTGAAAATATTTGGGCTAAAAATCTGATGAACAAACCTCTGGCTCAAGAAAAAAACCCTTTATGACACACCATTAAAAGATTCTCTTGAACAGCTTGACACCATGAGAAGCCAGATTGTTGGGGACAATATGCTGACTCTGTAAACCGCTCAGAGAGGGCTGTAAAAGCACTATGAAGTGGTATATAAGTCTAAGTGCTAAATACTATTCTTCTAAATTATACCATTATGTATGAGTTAAGTATTGGAGTGGTGCGGTGGCCTAGAGGTGGAGCTCTCACCTAACGATCAGGAGATTGTGAGTTCGATCCTAGATAGAGGCAGATATTTCTCTCTCTGGGCACACTGAGAATATATCTGCTGAACAAAACTCCGCATTGGCGACAGGAAAGACATCTGGCCATTAAACACTCTGCTAGCTCCATTCAGTTGCCCAGACTCCACCCCACAAGGGATTATGGAGTCGTTAAATGCATGAGTATGATGTATGAGTAAAAGTGTATTATATCATTAAGAGACCGGGTTTGATATAGTGGTTAAAAGTATCAGGCTGGACGTGGGATTCCATGAGGTCAAAAGAGCTGCTAAACCACAAATCCATAATTTATGAAACTGATTATCATTTTGGATAATGAATTGCACTAGATCAGGCCTCTCAAACTGGCAGCCCGCAGATGCGTCACGCGCAGGCCACACCCACCCCGGCTCTGCAAAGGCAAAAAAACATCACGATACATCATGTGACGTGATCGAGTTTGATGCCCATGGTCTAGATTGAGTCAACAAGATAGCACCAAGAAAGCCAGAGATCACGTCTTTGCCCACTTATCACAATAATTCTTTACAAATTGAACAGAAGTGAACCTACTTCACTGAATTAGAGTTATTTCTTTCAGAAAGCTTTTGCCTCCACATGTCTATTGTGTTGTCATTAATCAAACAGGTGTGGTCACTGTGATTTAAGGTCCGGAAATCATCAGCTGGTAGAGAATTCTGTAAGAAGGTGCAGATTTCAAAGAGGGTTTCACTGTGAACGGGTGGAGCACCAGAGACATCACTGCTGCTTTTGTTACACTGAGAGTAGCTTTCCGGGGGGGGGCAGATTTGCCCTGGATTACTCTCTGTGGGCACCTTTCCCCTCCTCCGAGCAAATGTGCAATTCATAATCCTGGACAAACTACAAGAAGATTACCTAGCATTTCCCCAAACTTCCTTTTTTTGGATCCTTCCCATTTCATTTCATGCATCTGTCCATTTCTTACTCCGGGGATTCTCAATTTTGGCAACTTGTGGGACTTCAAACTCCCAGAATTCCCCCGTCAGCAGTACTGAAGGCCACACATCTTAAAAGCTGCCAAGGTTGAGAAATTCTGCCTTATTTCTTTCATTACATTTAGGACTAAAGATTCAAGCCAGATAATTCTCGGTTCTTGTGGATTTTGGTTTTATGGCAAGAAACAAAACTTTGTCATTTTTATTTTATTTTTTTGCGGCTGAAAGTTGCAGAAAGAATGTAATTTGATATAGGTAGAGGAGGCTGTAATATACTTTGCTGCCTCTTCTTTCAAGATTGGGAATTATTTATAATTACCTGTAAGTGGTAGATCCATTTAATTTATTTATTTTGCCCAAAACTAGAGCAGCATAATTTCAGGGGCGGGGGTTTCTTCATACAAAAAACAGGACGGGGCTGCATAAGCTTTAGCCCACACTGGAAAAGGTGCATGGCCTTTACGCACAATTCAGTATTTCCCTTCCTGTAACTATAAAAGATATAATGGAAAATCCATAAAGCTTTACGTTACCTCTTTTCCTGAGCAAATTACAAATGATTGGTCTCCTCCAGAGAATATATGTTTAACAATATAATACGGGCAAGCATCTGTTGAAGAAGATTGACAAGTATTAGTTAAAACCATCAGACATCACAAATATCCCATTTTTCTTTCTTTTGGAAACCAAAATTCATATAGCCTGAAGGGTTGGGGTTGGGATCCAAAAACTGGTATCCTGTATATCCTGCTCTCTTCCACTCACTATAGTAATGGCTCAGTAGCTTAATGACCCTGGAGATGGTTTCTGCTCTAGCGGTTTGAGACCTGAGCACCACGACAGGGTGAGCTCCCATCACTCACCTCAGTTTCTGCCCACCTAGCAGTTTGAAAGCATGTTCTATGCGAGTAGATAAATAGGTACCACTTTGGTGGAGCCAACGCTTCAGGCGGCAGAATCCTGCTGACTCGGAACCTTCTTGGTTGTGAGACCGTTTACAAGGGGGCCCCGGGGGAGAGAGGAGGGCTTTTGATGACGCTGCAGGGAAAGCCGCTCATCTTTCTTTTCTGGTGCGAAATCAGCTCGCCCTCCTGTGGTGCGCCATGGGAAGCGCGCAAGCGCGTACCTACCAGAGCTGCTAAACAGGCAGCCAAACCACTACTCTGCATTAGCATTGTAGCATTGTACTCCTCGAATTACAACCACAATTGAGGCCAAAATTTATGTTGCTTGCTGAAACATTCGTTAAGTGAGTTTGCTTCATTTTACGACTTTTCTTGCCACAGTTGTTAAGTGAATCACTGCATTTGGATTCCATTGACAGTTGCAAAACAAAATGGCAGCTCAGAGCTAAAACTCCGAGGCTAGGGGGGAGATGTTTCGACATTTTCAAGAGTGTGGGGGTCAATTAACCATCCACAGACCCCTCTCCCAGCATGCTGAGGTATTTTCGGCTCAATAGAGCTGTGGATGGAGCCCAAGGATAAAACCCGAGCCGAGCCCGAAGATCAGCTGTTTGTCAGTAAAAAGACTGAGGGCGGTGGGGAGGATGTCAACATCAAAGCCTGGCTGTCATGACCGGGTCAACCACTGAGTCTAATACAGCGGTGGCAACAGCGACTCCGGATAGGGTGTTGATAATGATGCCTGGGCTAATAGGCGCTGCATGTAGCAACACGGCGGCGATGATGTCTATGGCAAGGGGGGTTACCACAATGGCGAGGGGAATGGCACTAATGGCAGCGATGGCGACGGCAACACCAGGAGGCTGCAAGGAAGCCCTCGTTGTTAATAGAAGAGAGGGCAATGCTGCAAAGGCTATAAATGTTAGGATCCCTTCAACCTCTAGGGATCTGTTGCATTCCTCTTTCTTAAAACTCTGAGGACTTATTAAACTAATTGAACTAAGTAGCCTGAGCAAGGTGATGGATAGGGATTGAGGATTACAAACAGGAGATGATGACTTACTCTCCCCCTCAACTGTCCCTCTCTCCTTTATCAGATCTAGATCTATTACGACCACTCAGCGTTAACTTGCAATCTTAGATCGATCTGCAGCTTTATTTACCACCTATTCCCCCAAGATTACCCTGATTATTTAACCCTAAATACTTTGTCCAGTGGCTCTGCCTTACTTTTTTGATCTACTCCTCGGCCATCGCTGGTATCAGGACTGGAGGAGATACAGACATCGAGAGTCTTGGATTATGGGGAGATAGACCACCTTCTCTTTGTTTGTTTCAAATGGTTTGGTCGCTGTGAGAGGACGTCCCTTTGAGACCTCTACCCCCACCTCCTTTGGATGGACTTACTACAACCACAAGACTTCCCATCGTCGTGAAAGGCCGATGTATTGACATTTGTAACATACTGGTCTCCCTTTTACATCTATTCCCTCCCTTATTTTAAATTACCTGCCTTAACCATCTCTAACACTCTTAGAAGAAAATGATCCTTCATCTCCTTCAACTCGCTCCTATCTTTGATGTATTCAACTGCGGAGTTCCTTGCACTGCGAGATTCCCCCCTCTCGCATGTCTGGCCCTCTCAGTTATCAAGGGCCGCCCTTGAGGACGGGTTTTGGAACCCTGAGAGGTGGTTTGCAAAAAACCGACGGCTTTGGGGGTTTTTAGATAAATCTTTAAGTTCTATTTTAAGGGGTTCTGGGAGGGATTGTGGGAATGGATCTGGGGGGATCCATAAATCCACTGAAAGGGGTAATGGGTCTGATAATCATGGTGGGGAGGATGGGGACAGAAATCTGACAAGGATGCAGGGGGATGAAGCCATGGGCATTAGTATAGTAAGTGGGAGGGGCAGATATGACGGCTGCAGGGGGCCATATTATGTTTCGGGAGTGCGCACTCGTTGTTTACGAGCGATTGCCCACTCTGACCCCCAAAGCACTGCTCGTTTCCCGGGTTGTTCAGAGTCTCAGACCCTGGGTCTACGGCTGATGTTATGTAATACCAGGTCAGTGGTAAATAAAGCCCCCCTCATTCATGATCTTATTTCAGAGGGAGGTGCTGACCTGGCAGGGATTACAGAGACCTGGTTAGGCCAGGAGGGAGGAGTTCCCCTTGTGGAAATGTGCCCGCCAGGTTTCCGTGCATTCCATCAGCCAAGGACTCAGGGAAGGGGTGGGGGAGTGGCAGCAATCATTAGAGAAAGTCTTTGCCCGAGGGAGGCCACTGTTCCTCAGATAGCCGGATGTGAGTCCCTCCTTGTGAAGTGGGGTCGGGGGATTCAGATGGGCCTACTGATTGCGTACCTGGCTCCCTGCCACGTAACAGTGGTCCTGCCTGAGCTGCTCGACATTATAGCCGGGGTGGCGGTGGAAACCCCCAGACTTATTGTTATAGGGGATTTTAACCTGCCATCCGCTGGTGAGATGTCGGAGATGGCTCGGGAGTTCATGGCTTCCATGACGGCCATGGACCTGACCCAGGTAGTTCAAGGACCCACCCACTTGGGGAATCACACTCTGGACTTGATTTTTGTCTCTGATCAGTGGCTGAATGATCTAAGAATAGGGGATATAGACATCAAGCCCTTGTCATGGTCTGATCATTCTCTCCTTCACATGGACTTTCAAGTCACTTCCACCCATCGCAGGGAGACGGAACCAACCAAATGGTTCCGTCCCAGGCGCCTGATGGACCCCAAAAGGTTCCTGATGGAGCTTGGGCCATTTCCTGAGACTCTGGCTCACAACTCGACTGAGGACCTGGTGGTCGCCTGGGTCAGGGCGGCTACTGGGGCCTTGGACCGCGTTGTGCCTTTGCGGCTTCTGACCCGATGCCGATCTCATCTAGCTCCTTGGTTTTCCGAGGAGCTGAGAGAGATGAAGCGTCGGAAAAGACGCCTGGAGAGCGATTGGAGGACAAGCTGATCTGAATCTGACCGAACACAGGTGAGATCTTATATTAAGACCTACCTAGTGGCGATAAGAGCGGCGAAGTCTAACTACTTCTCCACTCTTATTGCATCTGCAGAGAACCGCCCAGCTGCACTGTTTAGGGTGACCCGCTCCCTACTTCAGGTGGGGGTACGGGAAGATCCCTTAAAGGGTCGAGCTAAGGATTTTGTACAATTCCTGCATGATAAAGTTGCTCAGATTTGGGAAGGCCTGGACTCCGATTGGGTAGATCCAGGGGAGGAGACGGAGGCAGGTCTTGAGAGCGATAGCTGGGAAGAGTTTGACTCTGTGGCTCCTGAGGACATGGACAGGATTCTGGGCAAGCTTAACGCTGCCACATGTTTATTGGACCCGTGTCCCTCCTGGTTGGTACTGGCCTCCCGGAAGGTTACACAAGGCTGGCTCCAGGGGATTATAAATGCTTCTCTGAGTGAGGGTGTCTTTCCCGCCGCCTTGAAAGAGGCGGTTGTGAAGCCCCTCCTCAAGAAGCCTTCCCTGGACCCGGCTATATTATCAAATTATCGTCCAGTCTCCAATCTTCGCTTTGTTGCAAAGGTTGTTGAGAGTGTGGTGGCGCGACAACTACCCCGATACCTGGATAAAGTTGTCTATCTGGATCCGTTCCAGTCGGGCTTCAGGTCACGATACAGCACGGAAATGGCATTGGTCACATTGGTGGATGATCTCTGGAGGGCTCGGGACAGAGGTTGCTCCTCTATCCTGGTCCTATTAGATCTCTCAGCGGCTTTTGATACCATCGACTATGGTATCTTACTGCACCGGCTGGAGGGGTTCGGAATAGGGGGCACCATGCTTCGGTGGTTCTCCTCCTTCCTCTCTGACCGTTCGCAGTTTGTGTTGGCAGGGGGGCAGAGGTCAACCTCGAGGCACCTTATTTGTGGGGTGCCGCAAGGGTCAGTCCTCTCACCCCTTCTGTTCAACATTTATGTAAAACCGCTAGGCGAGATCATCCGTGGTTTTGGGGTGAGTGTTCATCAGTATGCTGATGACACACAACTATACATCTCCACCCCAGACCACCCCAATGATGCCCTTGCTGTGATGTCCCGTTGCCTGGAGGCCGTGCGGATCTGGATGGGGAGAAACAAGCTCAGACTCAATCCCTCCAAGACCGAGTGGCTGTGGCTTCCGGCGTCCCGGTATAGTCAGCTAGTACCATCACTGAAAATAGGGGATGAGATCTTGCTCCCCACAGAGAGGGCCCGCAACTTGGGTGTCCTCCTGGATTCACGGTTATCTTTAGAAGATCATTTGACGGCCGTGGCCAGGGGTGCCTTTTATCAGGTTCGCCTGATCCACCAGTTGCGTCCCTTTCTGGATCGGGATGCCTTGCGCACGGTCACTCATGCCCTAGTTACCTCCCGTATGGACTACTGTAATGCTCTCTACATGGGGCTCCCCTTGAAAAGCACCCGGAGGCTCCAACTGGTCCAGAACGTAGCCGCGCGGGTGATTATGGGTGCAGCTCGTTACGCCCATGTAACACCTCTCCTACGCGAGCTGCACTGGCTCCCGGTGGTCTTCCGGGTGCGATTCAAGGTGTTAATTATCACCTTTAAAGCGCTCCATGGCTTAGGACCTGGGTACCTATGAGACCGTCTTTTGCCACCAATAGCCTCCCACCGACCAGTTCGTTGTCACAGAGAAGGACTACTCAGGTACCGTCAGTCAAATTATGTCGACTGGCGACTCCCAGGGGGAGGGCCTTCTCTGTGGGGGCTCCAACCCTTTGGAATGAACTGCCCCCGGAGATACGGAATATCCCTGATCTCCGTGCTTTCCGCCGTGCCCTCAAGACCCTGATGTTCCAACAGGCGGGGCTAAACATACGAACATGTGAATGATTTTTTAAATGTTATCTAATTCTGGGTTTTATTTGATTGACCAAACTAAGTAATAATTTTAATTAGCAATTTTATGATATTTGTGTGTCTATATTTTTCTTGACTGTACACCGCCTTGAGTCCTACGGGAGAAAGGCGGTATAGAAATATAATAAATAAATAAATAAATAAATTTGTTAAATTAGTAACCTGGTTGTTAAGTGAATCTGGCTTGCCCGTTGACTTTGACTGTCAGAAGATCGCAAAAGCTGATCACGTGACACCAGGACACTGCAACCATCGTAAATAGCTGCCAAGCATCTGAACTGAGAGCATGTGCACCAAAGACAAATTCCTTGTGTGTCGAATCACACTTGGCCAATAAAGAATTGTATTGTACTGTATTGTATTGTATTGTTGATCATGTGACCATGGGGATGCATCAAAGGTCGTAAAGGTGAAAAAGGGTCATAGGTCACTTTTTTCAGTGCCGTTTGAACTTTGAACGGTCACTAAACGAACTGTTGTAAGTCGAGGACTACCTGTAGTCTACTGGCTAATGTAACAACGCCATACGCTAAAGAAACAAATACAATTCTAGTCACTTACCTGCTCTACCAGTGATCTGCTCATCATAAGCTGCCCAATGGCCTTTGACTGGAGAGGGACATTTAACACTGCAGATGTGTCCAGTTCCCAGCTGGCCTTTCGTTCCACAGCCAAATGCATAGATCATTCCTGAAGAAGGCACAAAGGCTAGAGTGTGCTGTCTGAAAATATCAAAATAACCAAACCATTTGTAAAGAGTTCATCTTCAACAACCAATTATATTCAGTGCAAAACTGAACTTGAAAGAGGACAACTCTTTTTTTTTTTCCTCCCTGACCATTCATCTATTTCACAAGTGTCAAATTCACCCCGTCACGTTTTTTCCTTTTGCAGAGCTGGGTGGGCGTGGCCTGCGCGTGAAGCAATCGGCCCGCGGGCCACCAGTTTGACACCCCCTGATCCAGGGGTGAAATGCTCCCAGTTCGGACCGGATCGCCTGATCCGGTAGCGATGTCGGCGGGTGGTTCGGAGATCAGGCAACTCAGCTGGGATCGTCAGAGGCTTTTCAAAGCATTTTTTTCTGCAACCTCTTCGGCCAAAGCAGTAGTAAAAATAATGCTTTGAAAAGTCTCTGACGATCCCAGCTGAGTTGCCTGATCTTCAGAGAGGCTTTTCAAAGCATTAATTAAAAACCCTCTCTGACGATCCCAGCTGAGTTCAGAAGCTTTTCAAAGCATTTTTTGCAACCTCTTCAAGAGGTTGTAGAAAAAATGCTTTGAAAAGTTAAAAAAAAAAAAAGTTGGCCATACCCACTCAGTCACATTACCCCCCCACCAAGCCACGCCCACAGAACCGGTAATAGCAAATTTTATGTTTCACCCCTGCCCTGATCTATTTGGTAGTGCATTGGTTAACTGCAGTATTGCAGGCAAACTCTGCCCACAGCCTAGGGTTCAATCCTGATGGGGCTCGAGTCTTTCCGTCCTTCCAAGGTGAGTAAAATGAGGTCCCAGATTGTTGGGGGCAATATGCAAACATTATAAACTACCCAGAGAGAGCTGTAAAGCATTGGGGGGCGGGCATATAAATCTGAATGCTGGAGCGGTGCGGTGGCCTAGAGGTGGAGCTCTCGCCTCACAATCAGGAAGCTGTGAGTTCGATTCTAGGTAGAGGCAGATATTTCTCTCTCTTGGCACACTGAGAATATATCTGCTGAACAAAACTCCGCATTGGTGACAGGAAGGGCATCTGGCCATTAAAACTCTCTGCTAACTCCATTCAGTTGCCCAGACTCCACCCCGCAAGGGATTATGGGGTCGTTAAATGAAGAAGATGATGATGATGATATAAGTCTGAATGCTATTGTTACTTCTAGTTACACTTGTAAGATAGAAAAAAGCAGATCCCCACTCCCACCCTTCTCCAGTCCGTCCTTCTGCTACCATCATGACCAGCTCAGAGCCAACACAATATTGATGACTGTTCTAGCAATACAATGGAGACCTTGAAAGGGGCAAATAAAACCTAACTTGGTAAACACCTCCTGCGATAACATTCTTCAGGTAAAAAGGTGAGCCAAGCTGGGCAGTTCAAAATGCATCATCCCACTCCCAAATTTTTAAGAGGCATCGCTAAAGAAGAGACCACAAAGTCTCTGTAGGAACTGCAGAGAAGAACATCCTGTGAGAATTCTTAAAATTACTTGCCTAAGCACATATCTTTCCCAATCGCTTAAGAGTGAAGAGATTTCTGCATTCCTTACAGATCACCCTCTGATCTCACAATTTTGCCTTCTCCCATCCTGGTGTCTCCTACCTGCTGACACTTCATTTGTATAATCCCAAACAACATGGCTACTGCCCAGCTCAGCTACAATGATCCAGATTCTGGAAAACCATTGTAAACCATAACCAACTTCATTCCATCCAGAACTCCACTAAAGCTGCCTCTAAATTGTATTGCCTGCTTCATGACTGTGGCCTGAATAGAGGTAAGAGGCTAGGCCTCTGCTTGTTCATTATTGTATCAGTGTTTCAACTTTGATTAAGCATGTTGGTTAAATAGAAAATGATGGTTGAAGCAGATGTCATTTTCCATTAGAGCAGGCCTGTCAAAACTGGCGGCCCGTGGGCCAGATGCGTCATGCGCAGGCCACACCCACCCCGGCTCAGCCAAGGCAAAAAACGTCGTGATACATCACAATATGTCACATGACGCGATCGAGTTTGACACCCGTGCATTAGAGCAATATCATTCCAATTTATCTATTTTCTTTTAAGCTATCTAAATGGTATGAAAACAAAACAGAACCTAAAATTCTTATTTATTATTATTTATTTATTGGTAATTTTAAATTAAACCTTTATTATTGCAAAAATGCTATTCCGAATGGGTCTGACTTTTTGGGCTGCGAAGGCGAGGTTTATAATCTCTGCCCAATAGCAGATTAAGGCAAACATTTAAATCTGCAATTTCTCCAGATGTCGCTGTGTCCCAGTTTTAGAGTTGGCCTGCTGCCGGTTTGGACCATTTCAGGGGACCTGGTAGTTGCGAACCGGTAGTTGTGATCAGCGGGTGGGCCTGCCCGCCTAGGCGCAATCCCTGTCAGCACTTCAACCTGCATTTACTCTAGTGCTGACATAAGGAGAAGAGGGGGCAGCTGGCAAGAGGACACTTGACATTTCACCTACTTATTTTCCTTGAAGATAATATCCCCTAGGAGATGAGAGGGAGGGGGGACATTCCTGGGAGCTTAAGTAGTAGATATGGGGAGAGTGATTTGGAAGAAGGCCAATGAGACGCAGAGATTTGGGGAACGGAAAGGGAAGGTCTGGGGTCAGGAAGTCAGAGTTGGCTACGCCACGATCGGGGGCAGATTGTCGTGCTTAATAAAATGAAAGATTTCTTCAAAGACTATCTGTTTGGAAATGCAATTTATTTTATTTGAGATGATATCGAAACCTGACACCCTTCCTATATCGCAGTATTTTTAAAGCCGCGCGTATGCGCGGACGGCTGTGCACACTCACATTTTTGGTGCCAGGTGAACCAGTTGTTACATTATGTGATGCCCACTTCTGTCCAGTTTCCCACTCCAAATATATTGGGAATAAAAGATAAAAGAAATCATCCAAGTCAATGTTTCTCAATCTTGGTAGCTTCTGGCTGGGGGATTCTGGGAGTTGAAGTCCACCCATCTTCAAGTCCACCCATGAAGTCCACCCATCTTCAAGGTTGAGAAACACTGATCCAAATGAACAGTTTTGGACACCAAACATATAATAAGGATCATCCAACATTGCTGATTAACTCTCCTGAGAGTTCACTTTCCTCTAAATTTTATTTTCTGTTTGTTTAAGCAAGGCTGACAACCTTTGGCCTTGTGAAAAGATTTGTCCAAAAGGCCACTCACCTACCACAAGCGATCTGGGAGACTTCACTGCCCATCAGCTCCAAAACTCTTCTAGGGTTGACTTCATTGTTCAATGAATCATGACCAAGTTGCCCGCATGAACCAGCACCAAAGGTAAACACTCCTCCACTCTGCAACAAAGATCACAAGAACATTTTCATTTAGAGTAAAGCTTCCTTTGACCCCAAATAAGTTCCTTCTTCAGAGCCCTAAAGCAAACAGTTCTGATAGAAATCTCAACAACTTTGAATACAAACTTTTGGGGAAAATTTTTAATTGGCTATGGTATGAAAGAGGAAGAAATGAAGGGGAGAAAAAGGATATGCTATATTTTTCAGAGTATAAGACGCACCTTAGTTTTTGGGGAGGAAAATAAGAAAAAAGCTGATTGCTGGGCCTCCCGGAATACCCCCAATCAGCTGTTCTCAGAGGTGAATTTTAGCAACAGGTTCATTGGTTGTGAGCTCTGTGCCTTGCTTTTTTTTCAACCTCTGAAAATTCTGAAATTCTGAAACTCTGTTTCAGGAAAAACTTTTTTTCTGAAGCTACCTTTCAGTGGCTTTTTTTTCTGAAGCTCTATTTGGAGGCTTTTTTCCTGAAACTTCGTTTCTGAGGCTTTTTTTCTAAAGCTTCGTTTCTGAAGCTCTGTTTGGAGGCTTTTTTCTGAAGCTTCATTTCTGAGGCTTTTTTCTTGAAGCTTCGTTTCTGACGCTTTTTTTCTAAAGCTTCATTTCTGAGGCTTTTTTTCTGAAGCTTCTTTCTGAAGCTCTGTTTGGAGGCTTTTTTTCTGAAGCTTCATTTCTGAGGCTTTTTTCCTGAAGCTTCGTTTCTGAGGCTCTGTTTGGAGGCTTTTTTCTGAAGCTTCGTTTCTGAGGCTTTTTTTCTAAAAGCTTCATTTCTGAGGCTTTTTTTCTGAAGCTTCGTTTCTGAAGCTTTGTTTGGAGGCTTTTTTTCTGAAGCTTCCTTTCAGAGGCTTTTTTTTCTGAAGCTCTATTTGGAGGCTTTTTTCTGAAGCTTCATTTCTGAGGCTTTTTTCAGCCTCTGAAACCTCCGTTTGAGAGGCTGGGTGGGGCTATATTCAGAGTATAAGACGCACTCAGATTTTCACCCTCCTTTTTTGGAGGAAAAGGTGTGTCTTATACTCCGAAAAATACGGTACATTTCTTAAGCACTAAACAAAGAACTAAGTCTACATTTCTTATGTGCTAAAACCCCACCTCTCTGATGTACTAAATAATGAACGAGCACTAAAATATATGCATGCAATTTTATACAAATTATTTGCACTTATGTCAGTATACTTGGAGACAGAGAAAAAGAAAATACTATAAATTAAGAAAACAGTCCATATGCCTAAATATTCTCCAAATAGAATTACTTGAGATCATCCAATTGTTGAATTATAGGAAAAAATATTTAGACACTTGCTGGGTCTTCAAGAATATTACCAATTTAAATTGCTAGTGATGAATGTCCCAATCATACACATACACTCGGTTATTAGAATAACTTTATTACAATTTATGCTCCTCGGTTAGTATGTGAAATTAGGGCAGGGCTGTCAAACTCCCGGCCCACAGGCCGGATGCGTCATGTGCTGGCCACGCCCACGCCCGGTTTAGCGAAGGGGGGAAAGTCCCGATACGTCACATGACACAGCTGTGACGATGTGAGTTTGACACCTCTAAATTACAGGCATTTAGTTTTTACTTATATCAGAAACGCTACCCTCCATTTCAGTCCTATTCTTTGGAACCTACTCCTCTTTGAAAGATATTTGAAGTCCAAACTCCTGAAGTTCAAAAATGTTCTTTAGGAAGCAGGAAGGGCCTTTCGTTTCAAAATGTTTTCAACTAAATTGTAATATTTATTGTTAATATTTGTTTCTTCTATTGAATTCTATTTGGATCATTTTGCTTGTATACGCTAAAGTACTAGCACATATCAAATAGCAATACTACTATGATTGGATGGAGAAAGAATGTCCGTCCCGCCCTCAAGTACCAGCCAATTTATGATCAATTATAGCGCTGCCTTAGACACATAGCCAACATTTAAAAGATGTTCTCCTACCTTTGTCAGAACAGCAGTATGGTCATTTCCACAGCTGATGTAGACAACTTTTTGAGTCCTTAAAAGTTTCACATGGCAAGGAGATTCCCGATCTGCATTAAAGAGTATAAAAAGCTATGAAACTTGGCTATTCCAAGGAGAAAGGAACTGCTACAGATCCCAGGTCCTATTTGACCACTTGTTCTTCAAATGTTGCAGACCAGTTGCTAGAATTCTCAAGGATGGCCATGGTGCTTGGAAGATTTGAGTGGCTGAAGACGATGCGTAGGGTAATCAGACTGGGGAAATTTACTAAGGTTGCCTCCACTAAATTCTGGTTAAAAGGTCTTCTGGAATCTGATGGCTGTAATATTTAACAGCCTTTTTTTTTTTCTGTGTAAGGAGGACTTTTTGCCAAGCCTCTCTTTTGCAGCTACCCACAATTGTATGAACAAGAGAAGGAAGCCCACAAAGAAGGTTCCCCATTCAAAGACTTAAAATCCTCCATGATGGATCTTCCCCAAGGGAAAAGCAGAAGGCTTCTACCCTGCAAGCATTTTGATTGAGTTTGTGTCAAGATCAAAGCACGCTTATGTTGTTGCAACCATTATCGCTTCTCAACTTGCCAAAGGACTAGGGGGGAGGGAAAGGTGAGACGGAATGCAGGCTCCAGACTTCAAGGAGGAAAGCCCTGAGGGCCAAGGACACATCTGCAGGTGTCAGCCAAAACCAGAGACTCTTTCTCATAACAATACAATGATAGTCAATTGGACAATGTGACCTGCACTAAAAGGGGTGAGGGAGGATTCTATAAGGTAACTATGTGGGTTTGCACGGGAATTAGATAAATCTGGTATTGCTTTCAATAGTATCAAAATGATGTACTCAATAAAGTTTTGCATTGAGACATTGGCAGGTTTCCAGTGTGCTTGCTTTAGTTGAGTTCGTCAGTCCGGATGTTGACAGTTCACTTTTCATAAAGGATTTGGACAAGCACAATGGCAATGTTTTAAGGCCATTCCACTAAAGAAAAATACATGCCCAATCACACAATTGTAATGGGCCTCATATCAATTCCACCAAGCCGATTACATACACAGAGATGGTTTTGTGGATGTTAAGTATCTGAACTAGGCAGAAAAGAGAAGAAAAGAGTTTCATCTCCTTAAAATCTCCCTCTCTTCCTTTCCATTTCTGTGGCTGTTCAGAGATACGCTTGGGCTAAGATGTTTTATAGATGGCACTTTCCACCGGTAAGACTGGCAAAGATGTTTAAAGACAAATCAGCTAAATGTTGGAAATGTCACCAGGCACCTGGGTCATATTATCATATGTGGTGGAAATGCACAGAAGCCAAAAAATATTGGACAAAAATACATACGTGGTTGGAGAAGATGACACAACAATATATTGATTTGAAACCCAAAATATTTTCATTGGGGATTTTACTAGAAACTTATAGTAAAGAGAATGTATTTTTGATTATCCATGTAATAACTGCAGCTAGGATTCTATTTGCACAAAATTGGAAAAGTGAAGAGATTCCTACGGGTGAGAATGTGATTAGGAAAATATTAGAATGTGCAGAAATGAATAGATTAACACTTGCAATTAAAGAGAAGGAACAAACTGAATATTATATTGTATGGGAACTATTTTACCAATGGTTAGAGAATAAATATGAAAGTTAGAAATAAAAGTAGTTGAGTGAAATACAGAAAATATATTAATAGAATTAAATAAACTAAGAAGAGAATTGTTAGAATAGACAAATAAAGAATATGGCTGTAAATTTTAATTGTTATTGCATAAGACATTTGTACCCAGATGACTGTTTAATGGAAGATGGATTGTTTGTATTCAAATAAAATAAAAAATTTATTTAAAAAAAGAGATATGCTTGGGCTGAGAGAGAGAAGAAACATGAAGAAATATCTGAGGAAAAAACAGAAGAATTGAGTTGGAAACTTCTCCAATATCTGGAGAAAAGACATCTTTTAAGTACCTTTCTCATCACTCAAACCCAGCTGTCCAGAGGTGTTCTTCCCCCAGCCAAACACAGCTCCTGAGAGGGACAAAGCAAAGCTGTGTGCTCCACCTGCAGCCACCTGAGACAACGGGACCCCGTCAAGCGATCTGACACGTTGAGGAGTGTCCTGCAAAGGGAATTCTTTACCGAGCCCAAGTTGTCCGTGGTTGTTCTGTCCCCATGCAAAGAACTGTCCATCTGTGGGGGAGGGAGGGGAGAAATAAAACCCAGAGCTCAGAAAAAAAATGAACTTTTTTCACCTCCCAGCATATAGGTAGTCCTCGACTTACAACCATTCATTTAGTGAACACTCAAAGTTACAACTGCAGTGAAAAAAGAGACGTATTTTTCACCCTTATGACCTTTGTAGCATTCCCCATGATCAATCATGTGATCAAAATTCAGATGCTCGACAACTGGTTCGTCCTTATGACCGTGCTGTGTCCCACGTGATCACCTTTTGCAGCCTTTTGACAAGCAAAATCTGTAGAGAAGCCAGATTCGCTTAACAACTGGGGTGCTAGTTTATCAACTGCAGTGATTCGCTTAAAAACAGTGGCAAGAAAGGTCATAAAATGGAGCAAAACTCACTTAACTAACGTTTCGCTTAACCACAAAAATGTTGGGCTCAATTATGGTCGCAAGTCAAGGACTACCTCTATTGCAATCACATGAAGAAAAGCTAACATGTTATTTCTTTAAAACATTTATACAGCTACCTACCTTATATCGAGATATATATATATAATTGAGATAATTAGAGAGAGCCAGTTTGGTCTAGTGGCAGCCCGTCAAGCTGGTGGCCAGCAGGCTGGATACGGCCTGCACAGGCCACGCCCAGGCCTGCACAGGCCACACCCACTCCAGCTCCGCAAAGGCAAAAAACATCCCGATAACGTCACGATACAGCCTGCAATGCAATCGGGTTTGACACCCCTGGTCTAGTGAAATGTGTCCAACCTTAGAACTTAAAAGATTTGTGGACTTCAGCTCCCAGAATTCCCCAGCCATTATAGCTCCATTACAGTTGTATGTTAAGAACTACTTATAGTGTGCCGAATAGACATACTTTTGAGAAATTCTACTGTTGAAACTAGTATATTTCAGATATTACAGAGAATTACCATTTTTAGAAACATTATCTTCTGTTGACAAGAAAAAGAAGTGAGGGTCATCCTCTTTTTGAAACTTTTCCCAGAACTGTTACTATCATTGAGTAGAAACTTGTTTAACTGGAAGGGTAATTAAAAGTTGAATTATTAAATGTTAAAATGGTCATACCAGCTGCTAGAGCTAGACAATGCCAGTTCCCGCACGAGACCTGCAGGATCATCTCTTGGTTCAGCTTTTTTATTAACCTAAGAAAATAAAATAAATTACACACTTTAACAAAGTTGCGGAGGTGTAATATAATTACCTGGTCTTCATTATTATCATCTCTATTACAGAGATTGTAACAGTGAGACTAATTTAGGCAATATTATCATAGTCCTAAAACATTATTGGCTTGAATTTTAAAAGAAAACAAGAAACATAGGAGTGCTTTTTTATTAAATATGATCATGTACTTAGTGGATGAATATCACAGAGGACACAAAAATGAATCAAGAGATGTCTATTAAATCACTTGCCTGTAACAGAATAACAGAGTTGGAAGGGACCTTGGAGGTCTTCTAGTCTAACCCCTGCTCAAGTAGGAAACCCTACATCACTTCAGACAAATGTCTGTCCAATCTCTTCTTTAAAACTTCCAGTGATGGAGCACCCACAACTTCTGAAGGCAGGCCGTTCCACTGATTAATTGTTCTAACTGTCAGGAAATTTCTCCTTAGTACTAGGCTGCTTCTCTCCTTAATTAGTTTCCACCCATTGCTTCTTGTCCGGCATTCAGGTACTTTGGAGAATAGGTTGACCCCCTCTTCTTTGTGGCAGCCCCTCAAATATTGGAAGACTGCTATCATATCACCCCCAGTCCTTCTTTTCATTAAACTAGGCATACCCAATTTCAGCAACTATTGTTTATATGTTTTAGCCTCCAGTCCCTTAATCTTCTTTGTTGTTCTTCTCTGCACTCTTTCTAGAGTCTCAACATCTTTTTTACATCGTGGCGGCCAAAACTGAATGCAGTATTCCAATGGCCTTACTAAGCTATTATAGAGAGTTATTAACACTACACATAATCTTGATTCTATCCCTCTGTTAATATATCTGCAATCTTCCACTGTCTTTCACTTTTTTATGGAAAAACAGATTTCCTTGAAATCAATCTGCAATCTTCCACAAGAATAAGAAAAGTCCGACAAGCATAATCTCTCATCTTTACCTTGGAATTGTTACAGCATCTTCCGTCGTTGTAAGGCCCAACTGCCCATCACTTCCTGCGCCCCAGGAAAAAAGCTGGCCTTGGTCACTAAGCGCGACATTATGAGACTCACCACAGGCCACATGGACAATGTGCTGATCGGCTAAAGCATCTATTTGTTCTGAGGGAAAAACAAGAGAAAGGTTGAACCTTTCCAAGAATCCAAAACCTTTTACCTCATGCGGCCCGTCGAAGCAGAAAGAGTGGAAGGGGAAGAAGAGAGAGAGCTCAAAACCCAAGATTCGTTAAAGCTATCATAGCTGAGTTGACCATGAGCCTCAACTCCTAAATATAAAGAGGTAGTATCTTGTAGGTCATTTGAAGTTATGCAAAACTGCTGAAAACCTTTGAATTTTCAGAATTCTCCATCAGGCAAGTGGACTAGAACAGGGGTCCCCAACCTTGGCAACTTTAAGACTTGTGGACTTCAACCCCCAGAGTTGGAGACCCCTGGACTAGAACATAAAAGTAGTTGGAAGATTTCTATTTCCAAAACAAAAGATTTATTTATTTAAGAACATGTATGTGGCCGCCCATCTCACTTTCAGTCCAGGCAGATGACAAGGATAAAAACCCAATACAAAAACAATAAAAAATAAGCCCCCATTAATCTTGTGACAAAATCAAATGAGTCGTTTGATGGGCTCCATCCCACTCTGGGATCCCCAGCCCCATTGGCAAAACTAGATCTTCAGGGCCTTGCGAAGGACTGTCAAAGTAGGGGCCAATCTTATCTCCCTCCAGAGGGAGGAAGCCACTACACAGAAGGCCCTTCTTCTTGGACCCGCTAAATGGACCTCTTAAGGAGAAAGGACCCATAACATTCCCTGCCTCCCCACTCTCTAGTGGGTCAGGTACATATGACTGGCAAAAGATGGTCCTTCAAAGATTTGGTTCCTCCTGCAACTTATCATAACTGAACACTACTACGCATCTAAAAATATCCAATTTGCATGTCTGAAACTTCCCTAAATATTATGCCATCTGATACAGATACAGTAGTGGCCAAAATTGTGGAAACCTTTTGGGAAAAGTGTATTTTCTAAAACTAGCTAATAACACCACTTTTTTTGAGAGTAGTACTAAAATTATACATCAATGGAAAGATAATTTAATCAAGAATGTAATGCAGTAACTTTTATGAAGAATTTGCTATTAGAAAAGCAGTTACAGTATAAAGAAGAAAAATGAAACACATAGAAAAAATAAGATCTACAAAAATTATCACCATGTCAGTTAATACTTAGCTGGGTAACCTTTAGCATGAATGACGGCCTTACAACAGCTTCCCATGGAGTGAACCAAGTCTTTTAGTTCTGCAGCTGTTATAATGTGAAACCAAGATGGAATGATTGCTTCTATTAACTGGGTTTTATTGCTGGGTTGCTTCTGACTAACAAGTTTCTTTAGTCGACTCCATAGGTTTTCAATTGGGTTAATGTCTGGGCTATTTCCAGGCCATTCCAGCAGTGGAATATGATTATCTTGAAACTCCAAAAAAAAAGTAGTGTTATTAGCCATCAGACCTCAAAAATACACTTTTCCCAAAAGGTTTCCACAATTTTGGCCAGTACTGTATCAGCCAATTTTTTCCTCTGTCCCCACTATTGTCTACTCCATGCTAGTTCTGTTACAAAACTGTAGTGTTGCCAGTTACCCATAATGCTAAACTGCAACTACCCTCCACGAGAATCTTTTTTTCTAGATCAGGGGTCAGCAACCTGCAGCTCTGGAGCCTCATGTGGCTCTTTCATCCCTCTGCTGCGGCTCCCTGTTGCTGGTCAGCTCCACAATTGATATGGCTTTTGGTTAGGACAGGTAGAGGAAAAAGGATGCCACGCTAGGAGGAGACTCTATGGTGGGGGAACTGGACTTCTCGTCAGCAGAGGAAAAAGGACACCACACTAGGAGGAGACTTTGATGTGGGAACCGGACTTCCGGTGGACTCCAGAATTGGAATGGGAGCTTCTGGTTAGGACTTTTTTTTTTTTTTTTGTAAATATTTTTTATTTATTTTTTCCAAATTTAAACATAAAACATAACTTTCAAGAGCAAAAATCTCGATCCGGTCATAGATGGTTACCACGCTTACATTCCTTTCACAAGCTCAATTCACAATTTCCATTACATCTTTTATAAGTAAACAAAAAAAGAAAAGAAAAGAAGATAAAAAAGAAATTCAAAACTTTAAAAAAACCAGTTTTAACTCAAATTTAACATTTTCATCTATATAAATCCATTATATCGATCCAAAATTAGTTTCAAATTCACTTTCACTCATTTTTACATCTGCATAACAATTCTAAACATATCTTTATTCTTCTTTACCTTATATCTTATACAAGTCATATCAAAATAATTTTTACAATATTCTAACCTCTTGTTAAGTGTTTACCTTACAATGTTATCACCATTTATTCTTAATTTCAATTCAATACCACTCCATTTTTATTATATTTTATAAAACAACATTTTGTCTAATTTTAATCCTTTGACCCTTATCCTCAATTCAGTTTACCTTAGGTTTTTTTTTTCCTCCCAGTTTACATATTACACAGATTTCTCACAAAGGACTTTTGTGGCTCTTTGAGTGTTTAAGGTTGCCAACCCCTGCTCTACATAGCAAGGAGAAGGTCTTGTTTCTCCATTATACTGGGATAAAATGGGCAGCGATGCTTTACCAGTATTCAGTGCACTGCTCCTGACAAATCTCTCAAGTGTCAAGCTAAAAACAATTTAACAGGAGACCAAGACATTCATTTAGCATGCAAAGACTACTAAGGCACACCCTTTTACTCTTCAATTTCCCAGAGCTTTCTAGGAAGGTGCTATGAAGCGGTGAAAAATATCTCTGAGATGATCTCCAGTTAACACCCTAACATTATTATCAAGAACTCGTCAGACTGAAAATAGCAATTCAGGAGAACAGCCTCTCCTAGTTTCCTTTAAGAGGCTGCATAGAATTTCAAAGCAGATGGATTTCAGCAACCTTCCAGATGGAATGTAATTTTGGACAGTGCAGCTTGTTCCTTTGATGCCACTTGAGTTCCAGAGGAAGTAGAAAAGATATGCAGAATTCCCTTAGTTGGGCCATCTCAGACTGTGCAAGTTTGATGGCTTCAGGGTGCTTACCCAATGCCTAGAAGTGGTGAGGGCATAAACAAGGATAAACTGATTGCAACTCCAAACTGAGCGTCTCTGCGTTTTTGAACCCCTGTTGTGGCCCGCCAGCGGCCAGCAGATCTGGCAGCAGATTCGGACAGTGAGGAGGGTGGGGAGGAACATGGGCCAGTCCAGGAGTCTGGGGAAGGCTCTGATGAGGGCTCTGCGTCAGAGGCAGAGAGGGGGCCAGAGCCGTATGCCAGTTATCAGCTGCCTTCGGAGTCAGACATCAGTGAGGCAGACAAACAACTGGAGCCTGTTCCCAGTGTGCGCATGCGCAGAGTTGCCAGACGAAGGGAACAGCTAAAGAACAAGGGTCAACTTGGGAGTAAGGCCACAGGTGGACGATGAAGGGCCCCTCCCAGAGGGAATAAAGGAGGAGCAAAAGGGGAGGTGTTTTGCAGGTGACAATTACCGTGTTTCCCCGAAAATAAGACAGGGTCTTATTTTCTTTTGACCCCCGAAATATGGCCTTGGCCTTATTATCGGGAGGGTCTTATTATTTTTCAGGTGCAGGAGGCCCCTAAACATAGGCCCACTGCAGGGGAACTGGTGCCGGAGCACTGACCAGCTGCTTTGCCGGTTCTGCTCAGGCTGCTGCCTCCAGCAATCATGGCGAGTTTTAATTTGCTTCCCGTGCAAACAGCAGAGATGGGGGGGGGGGGGGCGAATGGTGGGGGAACATGCCCCACGTGCACCTGCCATCCACCCAGAATGGCCTCACGGAGGCCATTCCCGCAAATCGTAGCTTGCACCCCCCTTCTCTTAGTGGCGACCGCAAACAAACTCTTGCCAGCCCTAGCCCTGTCAACCTGGGGAGACGGGTACTGGTGCCGGAGCCACCGGGAGGGGCATTTTTTCTCTCCCCGGTCTCCAGAGGCTTTCCTTGAGCCTCCAGGAGGGCGAAAATGGCCTTTCCAGGCTCCAGAGGCCCTCTGGAAGCCGGAAACGAGCCCGTTTCCAGCCTTCCCGAACTTCCGTTAGGCCCGTTTTTCGCCCTCCCTGAGCCTCCGCGCACACCTTGCACTTACCTGCATTCAAAACAGACTGCATGGGGACTCCTGGGAGGGGCGGGGTGGGCGGGTCCAGCCAGGAGTGGGATTTGCGGGTTGTCCGAACTGCACAGACTCTTAGCTAGAGGTTCTCCCGAACCCTTGCAAACCCCCAGCAGCCTACCCCTTGTTTGGGACTGTGAATTGTTTGTGAGATACCTCGGCTCTTGTATTTATTGGTTTCGTTTTTAATTATATTGTTCACTTTGTTTTATATTGGCTTTCTACAGTATTGTCAATCACTCAGAGTTTTTTGTTATATGCAACCATATATACATTTTGAAAATAAAAAAATAAAATTCCAAATCCAAAAGAATTTTGGTCCTTTCAAAGGGCCAACCTTTAAAAATCGTTGGTTTGGAGACACACATGAATTTAGTGGAATAAACAAACTGAATTATGGAAGTTTGACCAAACTATCCTCAAGTTAGTACATATGTTTTGCATTTCTTAACCAAGCTAGAGACCAGACTGTATTCATATTGGAAAAGAACAACACGTTACAGGCATGTTTCCAAAATCTACCCTGCAGATGGCAAAATATAATTATTTTCCAAAAACCTCAGTTTGTGTGGGAATAATCTGTGGGGGATAACAGTACTAAACTGGACTATTGGATTCTGCAAGCAAATAGGTTGAGAAGGAAAATCCATGTGAACATGATTGTAAAAGGAGAAATTTATTTTTAAAACTTGTTACCATTGGGGCCACTTCAAAAGATAAACGAATTTTTCCCAATATGTATACCGTGTTTCCCTGAAAATAAGACCCTGTCTTATATTTTTTTGAACCCTGAAATAACGCTTGGCCTTATTGCCATGCACTCAAAAGCCTGATTGGGCTTATTATCAGGGGACGTCTTATTTTGGGGGAAACAGGGTAGCTACAAACTTTTTCACTTCTCTACCTTCAATAATACATATAGAAACACTAAAGGTTTTGTTTTGTATTTGTTCAATCATCAATGTTTGGAATGCTGGCTGACAATTTCCTTATTTCCATGGTTTGGGGTATTTCAAAGTAGTTTAGGCTTAACAGGGAAAATATCCAATTAGATTGATAAAACAAATATTTAAAGTATTTGAAATCAGCCCAGTAAAAAAATTTAAGACAGAAATGATGAAACATACTAAAATTACCCAAAACTACCCTGTTTCCCCCAAAATAAGACATCCCTTGATAATAAGCCATTCGGGCTTTTGAGTGCATGGCAATAAGGCCAAGTGCTTATTTCAGGGTTAAAAAAATATAAGATAGGGTCTTATTTTCAGGGAAACATGGTAGGAGACCTCCAAGATGCCTTCTAATCAGCAGTGAAATGTTACTGGTTCGCACCAGTTCAGGAGAACCAGTAGTGATAAAAACTACCGGTTCAGGCGAACCAGTAGTAAAGAAAAGCTACCTTTCTGACGATCAGCTGTGCCGCGCAATTTAAAATCCTGCTTTCTAGTGAATCTAAATCACACGACATAGCTGTTCCCCCCCTCGCTGTTCTACTTACCTGCCCAAGCCTCCTTTTTCCACGTGAAGTGCACATTTGATGCGTACTGCACATGTGCACACACAGCATGCCCTTGGCGCGCACCACGCATGAAGGCAGTGAACCGGTGACAAACCAGGGGAAGATTTCACCACTGCTTCCAACTCTGTTATACTCCTTTCTCCTCCTCTTTTCCCCACAACAACCACCACCTTGTGAGGTGAGTGGGGCTGAGGGAGAGTGACCAGCCCAAAATCACCCAGGTGGCTTTCATGCCTAAGGCAGGAATATGATACCACCATGCCCTCCTCACATCTCTGAGATCAGTGGTGGGACACTGTAGGTTTAACAACCGGTTCGGTGATTACGTTCTTTATGTACACATGAGCAGTTTTACAAATACTAACCTTCTGTGTTACCACCTGGGAGTAACACAGCTGAGGCGTAGCAATCCATTCTGCCGTGCCAATCAGCTGAGAAGAGAAAGGTAAGTAAAGCACAGGGGCGGGCCAACCTGATCATCGGAGCTACCGGTTCGCCTGAACCGGTCCGAACCAGTAGAATCCCACCCCTGCCTGAGACCGTAACATTTTAAAAAAGCAAAGCACAGTCTGTGGCTATAAAGAGACTTCCCTATCCCTACCTTTTAGAATTTGAAATAGAGTCCATAAAATCTATACCATTTGAGACTTTCTATCCATCAGACCAGAGGAGAGAGAAAGCTGCTTTAGTGATTTTGGGAAAGCAACTGTTTGCAAAGCTGCCAAAATCTGAATGAGTAAGAGACTACCAGCATTCTTTTAGCTCTCTGTCAACATCATGGACAAACTGAAACAGGGTGCTCTTGTTGCTGCAAGTGTAAGGAGAAGGATATAATTTGAACAAGACACACTCTGGACGTGACACTTCATGGTTCCTGACAAAGGTTATTTTGAGGTCAGACAGAAAGAGCAATTTAAGCAGGGGTGAAATCCAGCAGGTTCTGACAGGTTCTGGAGAACCAGCAGCGGAAATTTTGAGCAGTTTGGAGAACCAGCAGCGGAAATTTTGAGTAGTTTAGAGAACCAGTAAATACCACCTCTGGCTGGCCCCAAAATGGGGTGCAAATGGAGATTTTGCAGTATCCTTCCCCTGCCACGCCCACCAAGCCACACCCACAGAACCGGTAGTAAAAAAATTTGGATTTCACCACTGAACTTAAGCCAGATCTTCTAGATGAGAAGGAAATTACCTTCTCATTATAGAGTTTTATAGAGACTCTTAGTTCACCATTAAAAAGTCCTAACTTTTTCTTAACTTTTCTTATACTGGTCACTCCCCACAAATAATTCAAATAATCTACTATCAAACACAGTATTGATAATATCGCTCCCCAATGTTTTCACCGTTTGGAGCACGTCTCACAGCAAACCCTGTTTGTGAAAGTGTCCTCTAACTTGCTTTCAAAATCTCAGAAGCAAAAAAAACCCCAACATTTGGAACCCCTGATTAACAATACAGTCACAGAAAAAAACATAAATATAAGAATGATAATTCAAAACTCTTCTTCTTCTTCTTCTTGTGCCATATCTGTCATCGGACATTAGCTGGTGATCCTATTTTTATCAACAGCCACACGAAAAAGTGCTGTTAAGTTTTGTCCAAACCAGTCTCTTAGATTTTGAAGCCATGATGTTCTTCTCCTGTTCGTTTGCCTTCAATTTTCCCCTCAAACCTATTAGAAACAATAAATGCCAACCAAGACTAATCATGAAAATGAAAGGATTTGGAATCAAGACCTCAAAATCAACCCACCTGGCTTGCCACCTTCTCTCTCATGACCGAGTTGGCCTTTGGTGTTCACCCCACAGGTGTAAACTTCCCCATCTTCCAGCAAGAACACAGAGTGGTGTTTCCCACAAGCCACTTCCTTGACACTCCTCTCGTGAACGAATTCAGTGGTCTGAGGTTCAGGGATGACCGCCTGCAGAGTACTATCTGAGCCAGGAAATCCGAAAGACCAATATCCCCAACATAACATCTTCTCCGCTTTCAGCAAGGCATGGATCTTGAAATTTTCCTGCAGATGAAAGAAGAAGAAATATCTCTCTCAAAAAAAAGAAAATAATAGGGATTGCTGTGACCCAGGCCCAAGTAGTTAGTATTAAATACAAACAGTTCGAAAACAAACAGACTTTATTAGAACAGCTGGGAATTAACTCATTCTCAGTGTAGTTTGCTACACTAGTCATATTTCGTGTAGCAGATAAAAATGAATTTCCCAGATCACATTTTTCCTGCTTCTACAAGTTGCTGTTCAATCTCCTTCAATAAAGTGGCCCAAATAGCAATAGTACTTAGACTTATATACTGCTTCACAGTGCTTTACAGCCCTCTCTAAGTGGTTTACAGTCAGCCTATTTACCCCAACAATCTGGGTCCTCATTGTACCAACCTCGGAAGGATGGGAGGCTGAGTCAACCTTGAGCCGGTGAGACTCGAACTGCTGGCAGTCGGCAGAATTAGCTTGCAATACTGCATTCTAACCACTGCGCCACCACGGCTCCTATTAAGTTCTTTATCCAGAAGTCTCTGCCAGTTCACTTGCCCATTGTGGGACGCTAATGAAAAGCAGAGATTTTATTTCTTGTTCTGATTCTTGAGAAAAAGCTGCAGCAATAGTTGTGTTGAAATCTCAGGTTGTCACTTTTGAAAGGGCAGCTTCTGCTCTGCTGATCATTACCGCCTAACTACAAACTTCTCTGATTCCCTTCCCCACATTATCAGTGGAAACAAACAGCCAAATGTGCTGAACATTGAACTATATTAACTATAATCAAGAAGAGTGGAATTCTTCTGCTCTTTTATTCCTACCCTCAAGGAAAACAGATTTGCTGCTAACTGTTTATCCTCAAGTCATGCTTAATTACCCCATGCTGGAAAGAATAAATTATATAAGATGTTGCAAGTGCTTACAGTACATATTGCAAAAGTACTCCTCTCTACTTCAGACAATTAAAACCTACAGGTCACAACAAAGTACAATGCGTCAAATTCAACTAGGAAGAAGCACTTGGGGAAAAACAGGGTAGCAAACAGAGCACTTTTCTACAAGTATTATTATTATTATTATTATTTTTATTAATTTAATTTATATACCGCCCTTCTCCCAAAGGGACTCAGGGCGGTGTACAGCCAGCATAAAAACACACAAATATAAAATTTAAAAACAATTTAAAAATATTAAATAGTTTGGCCCATCTAATTAAAATAAAGCTACCCAATTTAGACATTTAAAATTAAGAATTAACAATTAAAAAATTAAAATTAGGCCAGCCCAGCTTGTTGAAATAAAAGCGTCTTGAGGGCCCGGGGGAAGGTGCGTAAGTCGGGAATCCTCCGTATCTCAGGAGGCAATTCGTTCCAGAGGGCAGGAGCCGCCACAGAGAAGGCTCTCCCCCTGGGGGTCGCCAGCTGACATTGCTTGGCTGACGGCACCCGGAGGAGCCCCTCTCTGCGGGAGCGATTTTCCAGATGTAGCTGTTTTCAGGAGTTTCAGTGAGGGCTCTGGAAAACAGGATAGCAACTAGAGCACTTCTAGTTCTAGTTCACAATCCACGTTCTCCTGGATGCACGGCTGTCTTTGGAAGATCACATGACGGCCGTGGCCAGGGGAGCTTTTTATCAGGTTCACCTGATGCACCAGTTGCATCCCTTTCTGGACCGGGATGCCCTGCGCACAGTCGCTCATGCCCTCATCACGTCCCGTCTGGATTACTGCAACGTTCTCTACATGGGGCTCCCCTTGAAGAGCACTCGGAGGCTCCAACTGGTCCAGAATGCGGCCGCGCGGGTGGTTATGGGTGCGACTCGACGCACCTACGTAACACCCCTCCTGCGCGAGCTGCACTGGCTCCCGGTGGTCTTCCGGGTGCGATTCAAGGTGTTGGTTACCACCTTTAAAGCGCTCCATGGCTTAGGACCGGGGTATATACGAGACCGCCTTCTGCCAGCAACAACCTCCCACCAGCCAATATGCTCCCACAGAGAGGGACTCCTCAGGGTGCCGTCGGCCAAACAATGCCGACTGGCGACACCCAGGGGAGAGCCTTCTATGTGGGGGTACCAGCCCTCTGGAATGAGCTGCCCCTAGAGCTTCGTCTTATCCCCGACCTGCGTACTTTTCGCCGCGCCCTTAAGATCCTTCTGTTTCAGCAAGCCGGACTGGCCTAGTAAGAATTTTTTAAATGTATGTATGTTTTAATTCACGGCCAAATTTTATATTCAATTTTAAATTTGTTTTAAATTTTATAAATCTATGTGTTTTAATATGGCTGTACACCACCCTGAGTCCTTTGGGAGAAGGGCGGTATAGAAATCTAATAAACTCTTAAACTCTTGTTCTACCAGTAGGCATTATCAAGATGTAGCTGTTTTCATGGGTTTCAGTGAGGGTTTTGGAAAACAGGATAACAAATAGAGCGCTGATCTACAAGTAGGCATTTTCAAGATATAGCTGTTTTCATGAGTTTCAATTAGGGTTTTGGAAGACAGGTGGCAAATAAAGTACTTATCTATAAATGTGTATTTTCCAGACATAGCTGTGTTCATGAATTTCAATCAGGGTTCTGGAAAGCAAGTTAGCAAATCAAGTACTTATCTACAAGTAGGCATTATCAAGATGTAGCTGTTTTCATGAGTTTCAATTAGGGTTTTGGAAAACAGACAGCAAATAAAAGACTTATTTATAAATAGGTATTTTCCAGACATAGCTGGGTTCATGAGTTTCAATAGCAATAGCACTTAGACTTATATACCGCTTTACAGTGCTTTACAGCACTGTACAAACACCTTTGAAATGCCATTTTTATAGCACTGTGGAGTTATCTTGTTAATTTGTATAAGCAATAGGACCTAATATACCGCTTCACAGTGCTTTACAGCCCTCTCTAAGTGGTTTACAGAGTCAACCTATTGCCCCCAATAATTTGGGTCCTCATTTTACCCACCTCGGAAGGATGGAAGGCTGAGTCAACCTTGAGCCTGGTGAGATTTGAACTGCCAAATTGAAAGCAGCCGGCAGTCAGCAGAAGTAGCCTGCAGTACTGCACTCTTACCGCTGTGCCACCGTGACTCGATGAGTGTTTTGGAAAACAGAATAGCAAATAGAGCACTTTACTACAAGCAGGCATTTTCAAGATGTAGCTGTGTTCATGAGTTTCAGATGAGTGCTACATTCATTCTCCCTCAAGTTCTGAAACACCTCCCTCCTGATTCATCCCAAATTAAATCATCTACCAGTCTAGCCACTTTGTGCATCCGAGGAGGTGAGCTTCAGCTCACAAAAGCTTATGCCTTTTAATTGTTTTTTTAAGAGGAAAAGGTGCTATCACCTGGTCTCTTCCAAACTGAATCCAAACACTTCTTTCTAACCAAATGTGAAGCGTTGTAGCGTTGTAAAGACAAAACATTTTTAAACACGGTTCTTGCCAGCTGGCAAAGCACCCATCAGAGCAAATAAGTCTCGGTATTGTTGTTGGCTGGACATCAATGCCAGAACAAATGTGTTTTGCTAGACATTGTTGGTAATTTATTGCTTGCTCATGCCACCAGAAGATGCGCGAGGAAAAGCACAGCACATCCTCATATTTTATGACAACTTAATCTTTCAATAGAAAGCATCCGGTAACATTAGAATTACCGTAGATAGAATTAGCTATCCACAGTATAGCAGCCTAACTAATAGCTCAATTCACGTGAAACCGTGCCTAGAGGGGTTGAAAAATGAAATGGTTAAGGGAGTGAAGAAAAGGCACTTGTGTATAGGTAGGAGTGTGTGTTCAATCCCATTCTGAGATGTCTTGAGTACAATTTATTCCAAACTGAAGCCGGCTGAGAATATTGTGCTCCCAAACAGAGGCTGGGAAAAACAGTGCCGGCAATCTTCTGATGGCACAAAATAACCAATCTGTTCTTTACCAAGGAGGAAAAAATCACAGCAGGCCTGTACTTTAAAACAGGGATCCCCAGCCCCCAGTCCCTGGACCAGCACCGGGCTGCGGCATGCCAGAAACTAGGCCACGCAAACAAGCAAAGCCCCATCTGTGGGACCCAGGCAGAATGTGAAATCACGCTCCTTCCAGGCTGAGGGAAAAACCTCTCAACGGAGCGGGTCCAAAAGATTGGGGGCCATTGCCTTAAAGAGCTAACTAAAAAAGCTCCTATTACTCTTATAGCAGGGGTGTCAAACTCGATTTCATTGAGAGCCGCATCAGGGTTGTATTTGACCTTGGGTGGGCGTGGCCAGGGTGGGAGTGGCCAGCTCAACTTCACTCATGTCAGGGGTGCCTGTGGCGGCCTGAGCACTCTGCCAGTGAAAACGGGCTCCCAAGCTCCATTTTCGGCTGCGAAAGCCTCCTGCAACCCTCTGCCACTGAAAACAGAGCTCGGGATGGCCGCATTTTCATTGGCAGAGCGCAGGTTGGTTCTTCCTGTTTCCAGGGCGGCCCGGTTGGCCAGATTTAAGCACCCCGCGGGCCGGATCCAGCCTGCAGGCCTTGAATTTGACGCCCCTGTCTTATAGAAACTTTTCAAATGCATAAAATGGAGCTACAACTACCTTTGAGTCAATTCATACAAAGCTGTGTGTTTGTGTGCCGTTGAGTCAGTTTTAACCCCAGGCAAATTCCTGGGATGATCTCTGCAGTTTTCTTAGCAAGGCTCTTGAGAGAGAGTGACTGGCTCAAAGTCACCCATCTAGCTTCATGCCGAAGGCAGGAGTAGAACTCATGGTTTCTAGCCTGGCGCCTTAACCAAGATGACTCTCATGACAATAATTTAATAATATGGATTTTTTTTTCCAACAGGGATGAAAGCAAAGATTGAAAGTATTGTTTTCCCTAAAGCAAAAATTACAATCAATTCGCAATACAGTTCACTGAACAGGATAAAGAACGCATATCCTGGACAAAAGGCAGAGGATCAATCAATCAGATAAATATAATAAAAATTATGTGCATGATTCATACAATAAACATATTAAGCCTTACAAATGAAGGTAAATATACCTGTCCCAGGTTA